CAAATGTGTGTAGGTTTGTAACTATGATATTTAAGAAAAGGTTTTTTTCCCTTTCGTTTCCCCTTCCTTCCTTCCTTCCTTCCTTCCTTCCTTCCTTCCTTCCTTCCTTCCTTCCTTCCTTCCTTCCTTTCTTTTTTGCAATAAACAGTAACTTTACAACTGGGTCCCTTTAATCCAATTTTGAGCAATGTAATGTTTTGGTTGGTTCCCTCTAAGACAACGTTTCTCAACCTGAGGATCGGGACCCCTGGGCGGGGTCACAAAGGGGTTTCAGAGGGGTCACCAAAGACCATCAGAAAACATATATTTCTGATGGTCTTAGGAACCACCTTGGCAGAGAAGGCTGCAGATCTCTCATCATGTCCTTCTCTTCCTTTTTGGAAACAGTCGGCAAATCCTCCCACCAAAAGCCCTCCTCTGTTGTGATTGGCCAGCCTCTCACGAAGGGGGGGGGCTGTTTCTGAGACTCCAAGCAGGGAGGGGAGAGCAGACGTGACAGGCACATGGCAGCGTGGTGCGCATGTGCGGGCAAGGAAGAGCATGCAAGGCTGGAGGGAGGTTCTTGCCAGCAAGTCTCTTTAAGTTAGGGGTGTTCTGTGTGGGAAGTTTGGCCGAATTCTATCGCTGGTGGTGTTAAGAATGCTCTTTGACTGTAGGTGAACTATAAATCTAAGCAATTACAACTCCCTAATTATAAAATCAATCCTCCGCAAACCCCATCAATACTCAAATTTTGGGCGTTTTGGGTATTTGTGGCAAATGTGGTCCAGTGAATGAAAATACATCCTGCATATCAAATATTTACATTACAATTCATAACAGTAGCAAAATTATAGTTATGGAGTAGCAACAAAAATAATTTTATGGTTGGGGGTCACTGCAACATGAGGAACTGTATTAAGGGGTCACGGCATTAGGAAGGTTGAGAAACGCTACCTTAGCTGATCTTGAATGCTAAGCAGGCTCAGTCCTGGTTAGTGTTTGAATGGGAGACCGCCAAACAAGACCAAGCACTATATTTCAGAGGAAGTAACTGGCCAAATCACCTCTGAGCCTTCCTTCCCTACACATTTATTATGATATATAATAATAATATCCTAATATTTTGTAGGGTTTTCTACAAAAAAATAATCATAATAATGATAAAATAAGAGATTATTATGATATAGTTCTCTCAAAACTCTGGTGCCAAAGTGCCACCGCTGCTGGCTTTAAATCCTGGCATATTCCTCTTGGCTTATATCAAAGCAGAAGGAAATAAACCAAAGCTGAGAATCTCTAAAAGGCTGCTGTTCTGCTCCAAGGGCAAAGGAGTCAAGGCAAAGTGCTTTTGTGACCCCCTCTGTTTCTCTGGTGGTGCGTTATTGCGTCTTGTTGGAACTGTACATGTACCATACACGTTTATATGGCTGTTGTCCGGTACTTTTATAGATGCAATGTGGAAAATAAAATAAGCGAATGAATATCAAGAAAACAATGGAACGAACGTCTTGTTTTCATACAGGTAAAAGAAAACACTGGTAAAGAAGAGAAAGCTGGCCAATACACCTTTTGGTGCCACCTTCCTGTTTCTGGATCTATTTGTGTAATGATCCCTTTGTGCACCAGCTGTGTTGCTATAGGCATGGCCAACTTTTGCCCTCCGGGTGTTTTGGATTTCAACTCCCACAATTCCTAACAGACTCAGGCCCTTTCCTCAGGGCCATCTATTACTCACCATCTACCTATGATCACTCAGTCTAAGAAACTAGAACTGATGCAGTCTATGCAATGCAATTTTCTGAATCTGTGCTCCAAAGAACTCCAGGTACAGGCCTAAAGCACCAAGACACTAAGATTGTTGTTGCTGGGCTGTTTGGACTGAAACTGCCAGAAGAGTGGTTCCACCTCAACATTGGCGATAAGACCTGTTTGGCAGTGGAATATAATGCCTAAAGTGTGATAGTGCCTCCTGCTCTGGAGATGTTTAATCAGATACAGGATGGCCATCTGTTGGGAGAGATTGGGTGGTGCTTTTCCTGCCTGGCAGAAGGGGGTTGGACTAGATGGGGTCTCCAACTGTTAGGGAGTCTATGATACCTACCATACCCCGTGTGTGTGTGTGTGTGTGTGTGTGTGTGTGCATATATATATATATACGATCAGCCACAACCGCCACTCACAAAGAGCTTTATATAAACTGATGACCTTGGCCTAACAACAACACAAGACTTTGAAACAGTTGAAATCCAACTTACTAATGCCTTGAAAGATCTCTCCAGCTACTTCAAAGATAACTACCTAACCCTGCCAAAACACAAGTATGTGCTTTCCATCTACGCAACCGTGAAGCCAACAGGAAATTGAAAGTCGCCTGGGAAGGTCAAGAACTTGAACACTGTTTCCATCCTAAATATCTCGGTGTCACCTTAGATCGAACACTAGCATATAGGAAACACTGCTTGAACACCAAGCACAAAGTATCTGCATGCAATAACATCCTGCGAAAACTTACTGGCAGCACATGGGGTGCAGACCCAAAATTAATAAGAACATCAGCTCTGGCTTTGTCTTACTCAACTGCTGAGTATGCCTGCCCTGTTTGGCATAGGTCTGCCCATGCAAAGCAGGTGAACATAGCATTGAATGAAACATGCAGAATAATCACAGGGTGTCTTAAACCTGCAAGTGTTGATAAACTCTACAAGGTAGCTGGTATTGCCTCCCCCCCCCCCCCCGATGTGCGAGAGGAAGTTGCTGCTAAATGTGAGAGAAATAAGGTTGAACACTGTGAAAGCCATCCACTACATGGCTACCAGCCTCCTCCCAGTAGACTCAAATCAAGGAAAAGCTTTATGAGAACTACCACTCCTCTTGGCGTCCCCCCAGCAACAGCAAGGGTATCCCTCTGGGCAGCTAAACCAGGAAATCCCAACTGGATGGCCCCCCACGAGGGTCTTCCTCCAGGGGCAAACCAAGAATGGGCAACTTGGAAGTCCCTGAATAGACTCAGAAGTGGAGTGGGCAGATCAAAAGCCAACCTGGCAAAATGGCACTACCTAATAGAATCCCATACCTTGTGTGACTGTGGAGCAGAACAGACAACTCTGCATCTTTGTGCTTGCCCATTGTGCCCTGCTTCATGTACAGAGGAGGAATTGTTGGAGGCTACAGACAATGCCGTTGCTGTTGCCCGTTTTTGGTCAAAAGATATTTAGCTGCCTGCACACCTTCTATTTTTATCAGTTTTATATTAATTTATGCAATGCTTTTGATACGAAATAAAAAAAATCTACCAACCTATCTATCTCAATGATAGCTATGGCTGAATGTCCATCTGTCAAGAAGGCTTTGATTGTGCTTTTCCTGACTGGCAAAAGGGTGTTGGACTGGATGGCCCTTGGGGTCTCCTCCAACTCTAGGATTTAATGATACCTAACATATATATCTCTCAATCATATCTATGACTGAATGGCCTTCTTTCAGGAGGGCTTGGATTGAGTCCTCCTTCCTGGCAGAAGTGGGTTGGACTGGATGGCCCTTTGAATCTCTTCCAACTCTAGGAGTCTATGATATATCTACCATACATAAATACCTTCATCTACCTATCTATTTCAATCATATCTATGGCTGGATGGCCATCTGTCAGGAATGCTTTGATTGTGTCTCTGTGTGGCAGAAGTGGGTTGGACTGGATGGTCTATGGGCTTTCATCCAACTCTTAAAACTCCAATATACCTACCATGGATCTCTCTCAATCATATCTACCTCCCTATCTCAATTACATCTATGGCTGGGTGGCCATCTTTTGGGAGGGCTTTGATGGTGCTTCTCCTGCCTAGCTGAAGCAGGTTGAACTGGATGGCCCTTCCATTATTCTATATGAATACATTCAAGCATATCTACCAACCTATCTGTCTCAATCATATCTATGGCTGGATAGCCATCTGTCAGGAGGGCTTTGATGGTGCTTCTCCTGCCTGGCAAAAGCAGTTTGGACTGGATGGCCCTTCCAGCTCAATTATCCTATGATATGACTACCATATATAAATACCTTCAACCCTATGATATACCTGCCATACAGAAATACCTCCAATGACATCTACCAACCTATCTATTCCTATCATATTTATGGCTGGATGGCCATCTGTCGGGAGGGCTTTGATGGTGCTTCTCCTGCCTAGCTGATGCAGGTTGGACTGGATGGCCCTTCCATCTGAATTATTCTATATGAACACCTTCAAGCATATCTACCAACCTATCTATCTCAATCATATCTATGGCTGGATGGCCATCTGTCGGGAGGGCTTTGATGGTGCTTCTCCTGCCTAGCTGAAGCAGGTTGGACTGGATGGCCCATCTGAATTATTCTACATAAATACCTTTAAGCATATCTACCAACCTATCTATCTCAATCATATTTATGGCTGGATGGCCATCTGTAGGGAGGGCTTTGATGGTGCTTCTCCTGCCTAGCTGAAGAAGGTTGGACTGGATGGCCCTTCCATATGAATTATTCTACATAAATACCTTCAAGCATATCTATCTCAATCATATCTATGGCTGGATGGCCATCTGTCGGGAGGGCTTTGATGGTGCTTCTCCTGCCTAGCTGAAGCAGGTTGGACTGGATGCCCCCCCCCCATCCGAATTATTCTATTTGAATACCTTCAAGCGTATCTACCAACCTATCTATCTCAATCATATCTATGGCTGGATGGCCATCTGTCGGGAGGGCTTTGGTTGTGTGTCTCTTGCCTGGCAGGAGGGGATGGGACTGGATGGCCTCTGGGCGGGGTTTCTTCCGACTCAGGCTGAATCCAGGTTGCCTGCTTTAGCACTGGATTCTCGCCTTTATCCATGCACTGGAGCCAGAATCGGGATGCGATGGCTGTGTAGACGGGGCCTGCGGGGGAGCCTTGCAAAGGGAGAGGGGCGGAGGAGCCTGCGGAGCCTGGAAGGGCGCAGCGCCCGCCTCCCTGGCTCCCTCCCTCCCCCGCCCCCTCCTTGCGCCTTGCCCCTTTAACTGTGTCCCCGGGGCGCCTCTCTCTCTTTTCCGCCCTCCGACGCCCACGTCATCATCATCCCCAGCAGCAGAAGCAGCAGCAGCAGCGGCAGGCTCAGCCTTTTGTTTCCCGCCGCCGGGCTGCTTGCTCCCTCCTCCTCCTCCGCCCGCAGCGCCCTCCGCCCAGGCGCCGACTCCCGCAGGACGGTGAGCGGGCCCGCCGAGGACGCCCCGGGGGCCCCGACGAGGGCAGAGCCGGGGAAGAAGGCGGCGGGAGGGAGGGCGGTAGGGCGCGCGGGCGGGCTGAAGGGCGGGTGAGCGGCCTCCAGGGCGGCGCAGGCGGAGGGGACCCCAGGGATGGAGGGACAGAGGGAAGGAGGGCGAGCGAGCGAGCGGGGACTCCCTCCTTCCCTCCCTCCTTTCCTTCCTTCCTCCCTTCCTTCCTTCCCGGGGTCCCTGGCGGGAGTCCCTTGGAACCGCCGGTGCGGAGCGAGTGGCCCGTGATGGGAGGAGGCGGGGCGGGGCTGAGGCTCCCTTGGCGCCCTGCCTCCCTCCCTCCCTCCCTTCTTCCTCTTCTCCTCCCTTCCCTCCCTCCTCTTCGTTCTTTCGTTCCTCCTCCCATCCTTTCATTCCTCTTCCTTTCTTCCTTCCTTCTCCTCCCTTCCTTCTTTCCTCCTTTCCGTCCTCCTTTCCTTCTTTCTTTTTCCCTCCTGCTTTTTTTCCTTCTTCCCTCCCACCTGTCTTCCTTCCCTCCTTCTTCTCTTCCTCTTTTTTTTTTCTTTCTTCCCCTCCCTTTCTCTTTCCCCTCTCTCTCATTCTTTCCTTCCTCCCTCCCATCCTTCTTTCACTCCTTCCTTCTTTCCTTCCTTCTTCTTCTCCTCTCTTCCTTTCTCTTTTTCTCTCCTTCCTCTTTCCTACCTCTTTTCTTCCCTTCTCTCTCCTCTTCCTTTTCCTTCTCCTTCCTTTCCTTCTTCTAATTCTTTCATGCTTTTTCTTTCTTCCTCCTTTCTTATTTCTCCTTTCTCCCCTCCCTCCCTCCCTCCCCTGCTTCCTTCTGCCTTTCCTCCTCTTCCTCCCTTCTTTCTTTCTCCTTCCTTCCTTTCTCTCCCTTCTTCTTCCTCCCTCCCTCTTCATTCTCCCTCCCATCCTTCTTTCACTCCTTCTTTCTTTCTTCCCTTACTTCTTCTTCTCCTGCCTTTTTCTTTCTTTTCTTCCTCCTTTCCATCCTTTCATTCCTTCTTTCCTTCCTCCCTTCCTTCATTTGCTTCTCCTATCTTTTTTCTTTCCTTCCTTCCTTCCTCCTTCCTTTTTCTTTTCTTCCTTCCTTTCTTTTTTCTTTCTTCCTTCCCTTCCTCTTCTCCTTTCTTCCTTTTTTCTTTTCCTTTTCCTTTCTCTTTCTTTCTTCTCCCTCCTAGTTCCTCCTATTTTGTTCCTTCAGGTTCAATCCTTCCTCCCTTCCATCCTTCTTTCATCCCTCCCTACATTCTTTCCTTCCTCCTTTCCATCCTTCTTTCATTCCTTCCTTCTCCTCCTTCTCCTTTTTCTTACCTCCCTCCTCCCTTTTTCCTCCCTCCCTTCCTTTTTCTTCTCCCCTTCCTTCCTTCTTTCCATCCTTCCTCCCTCCTTTCCATCCTTCTTTCATCCCTCCTTTCCTCCTTTCCATCCTTCTTTCGTTCGTTCGTTCCTTCTTTCGTTCCTCCCTCCCTTCTTCTGCCTTTTTTCTTTCCTTCGTCCCTTCCATCCTCCTTCCCTCCATTCTTTCGTTCCTCTCTCTTTCTCCCTTCTTTTCTTCCTTCCTTCCTCTTTTCCGTCCTTCTTTCCTTCCTCCCTCCCTTCTACTTCTTCTCCTGCCTTATTCCTTCCTTCCTTCCTTCTTTCCTTTCTTTCCTTTCTACTTTTCCATTCTTCATTCATTCCTTCATTCTTTCCTTCCTCCTCCTCCTCTTTTACTTTTTTCCTTCCTCCTTTCCTTCTTTCCTTCCTCCTTTCCATTCTTCTTTCATTCCTTCTTCTCCTCCTCTATTTTTTCCTCCCTCCCTCCCTCCCACCCATACTTCCTTCCTTCCTCTCTCCCTCCCTTCATTTTTTCCTTCCTCTCTTCTATCCTTTCCTTCCTTCTTTCTTTCTTTTCTTCCTTCTTCATCTTCTCCCTCCCTCCCTTCCTTCATTTCTTCCTCCATCCTTCCATTCCTTCCTTCTTCCTTCCTCATCTCCTTTCTGCTGCACTGACATGCACTGGCCGTTTTCCCAATCTCTGTGGTGGATTTAGAAATCCCATTCATCCCTAGCAAATTTGACCAGCACACATCTTCAGGGAAGCTGACGTGTGGAAGGAGATGGAAGGAGAAAAAGTCACCCATTTCTTTTGGGTGGAATAAGACATGTCAGATGGGAATGGTCACACCACTCTGTTGATCTGAAGCCCAGACGACTGCTTCCAATTTAATTTTTAATTTATTTACAGTTTTTATATTTCTCAACCCAAAGGTTCTGGTCAGTCACTGCCAAGCGGAGGGTTCATATGTCTATCCCAAATTGTGGCATCGGGACGAATAGTTGGCTGGCTCCACATGTACTGTATGGAGACCTCAGCCCAGCTCTTTTCGGGCCCAGTTTGGCCCCTGCTTCTCCATAAGAATGATTGAGATCCCAGCCTTCCAATCACAGATCACATGCCCAAATCCTTTCCCATCTCTCTCTTTGTATTGCTGTCTTAAACAAAGAAAGAAAAACCCCATATTTGGAATTTTAATAATAATTGTATTACCTACCCCTCCTATTATTGTAGTCTAACAACAACAACAAGAACAAAGACTTTGGCACAAGCCAGTAAAGGTGGGCCCAGTGATGATCAGCACACTGGGTGCCGTGCCTAAAGACCTTGGCCTGCACTTAAACACAATTGGTGTTGACAAAATTACCATCTGTCAGCTGCAAAAGGCCACCCTACGGGGATCAGCATGCATTATTCGCCAATACATCACACAGTCCTAGACACTTGGGAAGTGTCCGATGTGTGATCCAATACAACAGCCAGCAGAGTGACCTGGTTTGCTATGTACTAATCTTGTTGTGTTTCAAGTGATAATAACAACAATAATAAATGCATTACCCACTTCTCATTATTTAGTTTAATAATAATAATAATAATGATAATAATAATAATAATAAATATATTTCCTGTCTCTCTTTATCTAGTCAATGCTATGCAATGCTGGGATTTGTAGTTTGGTGAGGAACTAGCATTCTTTGGCAGAGAAGGCTCAGGCCTTGTCAAACTACACCCCCACGATGCCATACTATTGAACTAAAGCAGTTGAAGTGGATTCATTCTACAGCAGAGATGCATTCCAAGGTTTTCCTTTCCATTGCTGGAAGCTTTGGAGTTCTAACACTTTTGTGTTTAAAGAAGGAATTCTAGGCAGGCAGCAACTTGGCCAAATGACAAAGAGGGCACATTTTGATGTTGCACACTACATTTGCCAGCAAATACTTTATTGTGTATCAGGGTTTTGAAACTTGAGGTGCACATGAGATCTGATGGTGCATGAGACTCAAGTCAATACAGTAGGTTCAGCTCCTGAAACAATTCATATATTGGTGTTGGGGTTTTGAAACTAGAGGTGCACATGAGATTCAACAACACATAAGACTAGTCAATATGGGTGCTATTCTTTTTTTGCAGAGGAAGGAAGCCTGCCGCGGTCGAGGATGGAGATCTCTTCTCATCAGTTCCACCTCCTGCAGCAGTTGGATGAGCAGCGCAGACAGGACCTCTTCTGCGACTGCAGCATTGTGGTGGAAGGCAAGGTCTTCAAGGCCCACCGGAATGTGCTCTTTGCCAGCAGTGGCTACTTCAAGATGCTCCTCTCGCAGTCCTCGAAAGAGAGCGGCCAGCCCTCCACGGCCACCTTCCAAGCCTTTGCCCCGGAGACCTTTTCGGTCATCCTGGACTTTGTGTATTCAGGGAAGATCTCTCTCACGGGGCAGAACGTCATCGAGGTAATGTCGGCTGCCAGCTTCCTGCAGATGACAGATGTCATCAGTGTGTGCAAGACCTTCATCAAGTCCTCCCTGGACATCAGTGAGAAGGAAAAGGACCGCTACTTCAGCCTGTCAGACAAAGAGGCGGTGAACTCGAATGGTGTGGAGCGTTTGTGTTTGTATGGTGGCAGCGGCGGTGGGTGGCGAGCAGAGGGCAGCCCTCCTCCGTCTCATCTGAGCCCGGAGCAAGGGACTTGTGCCGCCGGCGGGAATTCCTGGACCAGTTTCAGTTATTACCCGCCCTCTCAAAGGAACGCTCAGCCACTCTCCAAACATGACCAAAGGCCTGACTCTGTGAAGAAAAGCAGTCGGCATTCGGGACTGACGCAGCCCCCCGATGCCCCTCACTACAAGTCGAGCAAGATGGAAGACCGAGCTACAGAACCCACCAGCCACCCTTCTCCATCGGAAGATGACCTCCAGATCGATTCGGAGGGGGATTCTGGCCCGGCCGGCTACCAATACAGCCAAGGGTCTGATGGCACCCCAAGAGGCTTGGCGGTGGCCCCACAAGAACTGGACCCTCCACATTCCACCAGCAAATCAAAACCGTCCAAAGGGGATGAGCCCTACAATAGCATGTCCTCCATGTTGGGTGTCATGGGGAACTGGGCAGATGGTAAGGACACGTGTTCTGTGTTTATTCCCACATCTTTATTTATTTATTTTACACCATTTTTATTTATTTATTTATTTCATATATTTGTGCCCCGCCCTTCTCCCCCCCCCCCCCAAAGGGGGACTCAGAGCGGCCTAACAAAAGCATCATACACTTTGTTAAACACATTTTGGAATAAAATAGACTATGACATCTCTGGGTCATTTTGTTCGAATTTAACAAAGCGCTCCTCCTACCTAATCAAATCCTTCATATACACTTTTAAGACTTCTTTGTTAAACTCAACAAAGTCCCCAAAGTGCTTTAAGCAATAGTAGTAACAATCATAATAATAATCAAATAATCATAATCATATTTTTCCCACCTCTCCTTGCGGCTCGAAGCACAGAATTAAAACAGATCAAACACATTCATACTTGGAACCACAGAGGAAGAGACCCCAAGGGCCATCCAGTCAAACCTACTTCTGCCAGGCAAAAAACAATCAAAGCCCTCCCAATGGATAGCCATCTAACTTCATATTTATTATTTATTTACTACATTTATGTACCTCTTCTCCCCCCGAGGGAACTCAAAGCAGTTTCCAAAATCATAAAGGCAAAATTCAGTGCCGTACAGACATGTGAACACCAAAACATAATAGCTAGACAATAACATATAATTATAAATTAAAACATAGCCATATTAAAACATAACACATAACATTTGGCCATAAAACATAAAAATTAAAACATCGATAATACAATAACATTTATTGTATTATCAACAACAACACGATTTAAAAACAGTTATAGACATTACTGGGTTCATGGAAAAATGGGGCCATGGAATCATAAAATTGGATGGTACCCTCAAAGGCCATCCAGTCCAACGCCCTTCTGCTATGGAGGAAGACAAAATCAAAGCCCTCTTGATAGATGACCATCCAGCCTCTTGCTTAAGAATCTCCAGAGAAGGAGACTCCATCAGATTTCAAGCAGAACCATACTCTTCTATTGAGGAGGTTTTATGATCAGGAAGTACTTCCTAATTTTAGGTGGAATCTTTTTTCCTGCAACTTGAATTCATGTCTCTATTATATCCTAATCTATGGAGCTGTAGAAAACAAGCTTCCCCCCCTCCTCTGTGTACATCATTTACAAGATTTAAATGTGGCTCTCATGTCCCTTTCCAAGCTTCTCTTCTCCAAACTAAACATATCATTCCTTAGAGTGATTCATGGTTTCCAGAATTTTGGTCACTTTCCCTGGTCCCCTTCTATTTATCTATTTATCCTATCTATCATGTCTATCTGTCTGTCTGTCTGTCTCTCTACCATGTCTATCTATCTACCTACCTACTTATCATATCTATCTATCTATCTATCTATCTATCTATCTATCTATCTATCTATCTATCTATCTATCTATCTATCTATATCTGTACCATATCTATCTACCTACCTACCTACCATATCCATCTATCGAACTATCTTCCTATCTACCTACCTACCTACCTAATGTATCTATCCATGTCCCGTGTCTACCTACCTACCTACCATATCTATCTACCATATATGTGTCTATCTACCATATATGTGTCTGTGTCTATCTACCATATCTTAACTATCTACCATATCTGTCTGTCTGTCTATCTAATCTATCTATCTACCTACTGACCTACCTATCATATCCATCTATCGAACTATCTATCTACCTACCTACCTACTATATCTATTCATGTCCCGTATCTACCTACCTACCTACCATATCTATCTACCATATATGTGTCGATCTACCATATATGTGTCTGTGTCTATCTACTATATCTTAACTATCTACCATGGCTGTCTGTCTACTCTATCTATCTATCTATCTATCTATCTATCTATCTATTTTTGTACCATGTCTGTCTGTCTGTCTGTCTACCTACCTACAATATCCATATCCATTTATCTATCTATGCATCCATCCATCCATGTACCATATCTGTCTGTCTATCTTATCTATCTACCCACCTACCATATCTATCTGTCTTATCTGTCTGTCTATCTATCTATCTGTCTATCTATCTACAATATATGTCTGTCTGTCCACTATATCTTAACTATCTACCATATCTGTCTGTCGGTCTGTCTCTACTGTACTGTACTGTACTGTACTATGTACTGTACTATCTATCTATCTATCTATCTATCTATCTATCTATCTATCTATCTATCTATCTACCATATCTACGTTTAGTTTAATCTGTTGATGTTAGGTTCTAATGTTGTTTTCATATGTGGGCATTTTTTTTGTTATAATATTGGCACTTATTTGTTTTATGGAGGCATTGAATGTTTGCCGTTGTATGTTGGAATCTGCCTTAAGTCCCTTGGGGAGATAGGGTGGAATATAAATAAAGTTTTATTATGATTATGATTATTATTTCTATCATCGTGTCCATCTCCTCCTTGAATGTTATTGGGTCATTACAGGTGAGACGGTCTGAACAAAGCAGAAGAAGAGAGTGGGGCTAGGACTTAATTGCAGTGTTGCTTGCATGCTCATGTACAGTGTTTACATCCTTGGAAGAAGCAAATGTATGTATGCGGATACGGAGCGGTGCTGGACGTGTTATAGGTTCCCCCCTCCTTTTAGGATTTTAACAAGCCTTACTTTCTCTCCCCCTTGCAGAGGATCTGCCCCGGACGCGCTTCAAGTGCCCCTTCTGCACTCACGTGGTGAAACGGAAAGCGGATCTGAAGCGCCACTTGCGCTGCCACACGGGAGAGCGGCCCTACCCCTGCGAGGCCTGCGGGAAACGCTTCAGCCGCCTGGACCACCTCACCAGCCATTTCCGAACGGTGCGCCCTTTGAAACAGGCATGCCTTGCCTCCGGATGGGATGCGCTAACCTGGCAGCAGTCTGTTCTTACAAAGCTGGCTTTAATCTGAATCTCCATCCCATTCTCCCCAAGGAGGCCCATTTCTTACACGCCTCAAAGGTTAACCTCAAAGGGGCACAACTCAACTTCACATTGAGGTCTCTTACTGTTGGACGAGTTCGCCCCCATCTGCATTGACCATTTAACACAGCTTCAAACTGCGGCTGCCAGACAACTAACAGCTGCAAAAGCGGGAAAAAGAAAGCTCTTATTCCCACCAATGCTCTGTGGTGTGTGTTATCCCACTGACTGGTTCCAGGATCTCCGATGTAATTATCTGTGCAGCAAAACAGCTTTCTTCAATAACAGTTTGAAACTGCGTTAAATGGTCAGTGTAGATGACTGTCGTATCGCCTAAATGTTTCCCAAATACATAGAATCAGTGTGATGTCTCATACTGGTTCAGTATAGCTGGATTGTGCCCTATGGTTCTTCTATACTGCTCCATCCTGAGGATTAAGATCACATCATCCTAAAATCTGGATGATGAGATGTTTGTAAATGATAACAACAACAACAATGTGTAACTTGATTTTTGCTCCTGGGTTATAGATGTCATTTTCTAATTGTTTCCACCATAAAAACATGGAAAAAGTTTATTAAACTGCAATAACTTTATTTTTGAGGTCTGCACAAAAGGTTAAAAATGGCAGCCATGAAAATGAAGTTTCTGGAGTATAACAGGCTTTTAAAGATAGAGGCTTTTAAGATCAAGTCAGGGGATGCTGTGGTTTTATCCATGCTTTGAGTCTCTTTTTTGGAGAGAAAAAGGGGATGGTAATAACACCAAAAACAACAATAACAACAAAAACAATATAAAGCGCCTGCAATTCTAAGGCACACACTGCTTTTAGAGACATTTATATGGGGAAAACATGGATCTCAGAATTGAAGAAATGCAGTAGATAAAGCAAGACCATTTACGCCCTATGCAGTATTTCTTTGATTATAAGAGGACCAATAATTTTATTATACACTTGGATTAAACCCTTGTGCCAGCAGGATTGCTGACCAAAAGGTCGGTGGTTCAAATCTGGGGAGTGGGGTGAGCTCTTAGCTGTCAGCTCCAGTTTCTTATGCATGGACATGAGAGAAGCCTCCTACAGGATGGTAAAACATCCGGGCATCTCCTGGGCAACGTCCTTGCAGAAGGCCAATTCTCTCACACCAGAAGTGACTTGCAGTTTCTCAAGTCGCTTCTGACACACACAAAAAAAAAATCAGACACATACACACACTCATATAAGCTCCTGCAAATCTAAAATGCACCTTAAATACCCATGTCGTATTACTCAATAGCTCAAAGTGGATAGTTTTTAGGGATGCTTATATTGGGGGGGGGGGGGGGGGGGGAGTGTGTCTTAGAAGGAATCCCATTATTCCCATAGTAGTCTTCTTAACGTGAAGTTTGTTGGAAGCTTCTGTTGGAAATATGTTGTTTTCCCCTTTGGTCCCCCCCTCATTGAATCATAGAATAATAGTGTTGGAAGGGTCCTCAAGGGTCATCTAGTCCAACCCTGTTTTTCGATGCAGGAAAAGCACAATTAAAACACCCCTAACAGATGGTCATTCAGCCTCTGTTCAAAAACCTTCAAGAAAGGAGCTTCCACTAGACTCCGAGGAAGAGAGCTCCACGGTTGACCAGTTCTCCTTACAGTCAGGAAGTTCTTCCTAATGTTCAGGTGGCATCTCCTTCCCTGTTATTTGAACCCGTGGCTCCATTGAGTCCCAGTCTACAGGGCAGCAGAAAACAAGTCTGATCCCTCTTCCTTATGGCATCCTTATTGGATGAGCAGGCTTATTAACAAAAGACCCTCCTCATAAATGTAAAAGCAGAGTAACTTAGCAGGAGCAGGAGCCCAAAGTGATAAAAAGTACAAAAACACACAGAGCAATGTTATCTCTTCCATAGGAGGCTTTTCTTTGTATTAAAATAATATAGTTGCACTGTTTACAATAACAAGGTTTCCACAACACAAATAAAGTACCTTATACTTCCTTCTTTGCGTCCATGCTGGGCTTCTTCCTCATGCAGATAAACATCTTCACTCTCACAGAGCCTCCTCTCGCACTGAAATTACACAGGAGCTTCACATAGTAGCTTTATGCATAGCTTTACACACATGGCCTTTAACCTGGAACTTCTTTCACCAAAGCTGCTCCCACATGGAGGTTTACCTCACTCTTCTCAGGACACTAGCTTTGGCCCACTAACTCTAACAGGCTTCGGCCTACTCACTCCTCAGGACAACACTAGCTTTGGTCCACTAACTGTAACAGACTTTAGCGTACTCACTCTCCTCACGATGACAGTATATTTGGCCCACTAATTCTAACAGGCTTCGGCCTACTCACTCTCTTCAGGATGACACTTGCCTTGGCCCACTGATTCAAACAGGCTTTAGGCTACTCATTCCTCAGGACAACACCAACTTTGGCCCACTAACTGTAACAGGCTTTGCGTACTCACTCTCCTCACGATGACAGTATATTTGGCCCACTAACTCTTAACAGGCTTCAGCCTACTCACTCTCCTCAGGACAACACTAGCTTTGGCCCACTGACTCCAACAGGCTTCGGCCTACTCACTCCTCAGGACAACACTAGCTTTGGCCCACTAACTCTCACAGGCTTCGGCCTACTCACTCCTCAGGACAACACTAGCTTTGGCCTAACTGACTCTTATCAGGCTTCGGCCTACTCATTCTCCTCAGGATGACACTAGCTTTGGCCCACTAACTCTAACAGGCTTCGGCCTACTCACTCTCTTCAGGATGACACTTGCCTTGGCCCACTGATTCAAACAGGCTTTAGCCTACTCATTCCTCAGGACAACACCAACTTTGGCCCACTAACTGTAACAGGCTTTGCGTACTCACTCTCCTCAGGATGACAGTAGATTTGGCCCACTAATTCTAACAGGCTTCAGCCTACCCACTCTCCTCAGGATGACAGCTTTGGCCCACTGACTCAAACAGGCTTTGGCCTACTAACTCTTTCTGTGCTTGACTCATACTTTTGTAATAAAAAATACCCAGTTAATTTTTAATATTTCTGACAGTCTTTTCAAATATTTAAACATGTCTCCTCTCAACCTTCTCTTCTGGAGGCTAAACAGACCCAGCTCTTTAAGCCGCTCCTCAAAGGGATTAATGTTTTCCAGACCTTTGATCCTTTTAGTTACCCTCCTCTGGACCCCTTCCATCTTAGAGCCAATCTCTTGAATTGTAGGGTCCAGAATTGGACACAGGGCTATTATTCTAGGTGAGAAGGTCTGACCAAAGCAGAATAGAGGGTCACCATGACTTCTCTTGATCTGGACACTAGACTCCTTTTGATGTAGCCCAAAATCCCATTGGCTTTTTCAGCTGCTGCATTACATTGTTGGCTCGTGTTCAGCTTGTTGTCTACACAGATTCCAAGGTCTCTTTCACATGTAACATTCATGTCAAGCCAAGCATCCCCTGTCCTGTATCTGTGTAGGTGAAGTATCCTACACTTCTCCTTGTTGAAATTCATTGACCTTCCATTTCTCCGCAGATCCACCAGGCCTGCAAGCCCATCTGCCGGAAGTGCAAGCGGCACGTGACGGAGATGACCGGGCAGGTGGTCCAGGATGGGACGCGGCGCTACAGGCTGTGCAACGAGTGCCTCTCCGAAGCTGGGATCGACAGCATCCGCATCGACTTGAACACGGAGCCTCCACCAGAGTTCCCTCTGGAAGAGGACAAGGACTCAAGCTGGAATTATGGCGAGGACAACAAATCTGACGTGGAAATCGTCGAGGACAGCTCCACCGACTTGGTCATCCAGCAAGTGGACGACAGCGAGGACGATGAGAAAGACGTGAAGCCAAACGTCAGGTAGTCCGGAATGGACTGCATGTGGAGAACCCCCCTTTTATTGGTCCATTCCTTTGTCTTGACCGTTCGACTCCCAACCGGCCTGCAGTTAAACGTACCATCCATTCTCTTCTATGACTTGCATGCATTTATGGACAGAGCGTTGTATGACTTTTTTGCATTTACTCCCAAGTCTTGCGATTACGTCCATCCTGAGATGGCATCCTGTATGAACGGTTTTATTTGCCGTTCAGCGACAATGATCACTTTTTGATAGTATTCAACGGATCTCTTCTCAATCCTTTTTTTCCAATGTTGAGAAGTGCTTCGAAATAAAAGTTCACAACTTCATTGTAAGTTACTTTATTACAACTCATGGAGGCGTGGAAGTTTTCTTTGAAATATGTGATATTTAAATATACATGCAATCGAATGTACTGGGATCCCATAAAGAAAGGGTTTATTGGGTTTTTTCCTAGCATAGCAGTGTTAGAAGCTCTGACAATTTGGGTATCCTTTCCTCGATCAAAGGAAATAGATAGTAATTTTTAAAAAGCATGAAAAGGCTTATCTCTACATTATTATTCCTTCGAGATATTTAGAAGTAATTTCCTCTTGTAAACACAACTGTCACATTTTCTCAGGAGAAGAGGAACATTCGTTTAGTGGGAATTTCCAGTTTATTTATTCATTTTCATTTATTGTGTCAGAAGCAAATTGAGGGTACAGCTGTAATGTATTTAAAGACAAAAACAAAGTTAAAAATCTTGGTCTTATGCTAAATGTCCTTTGACCACTTGGAGTGCCTTTGGTGTTGCAATAAGGTCTTCCATTGTGCATGTGGCAGGGCTCAGACTGCATTGTAATTGGTGGTCTGTGGTGTGCTTTTCTCCACACTCGCATGTTGTGGACTCCACTTTGTGGCCTCATTTCTTAAGGTTGGCTCTGCATCTTGTGGTGCCAGATGCAGTCTGTTCAGCGCCTTCCAAGTTGGCCAGTCTTCTGTGTGCCCAGGGGGGAGTCTCTCATTCAGTATCAGCCATGGTTTAAAGTTCCGTGCTTTAGCCTGCCACTTTTGGACTCTCGCTTGCTGAGGTGTTCCTGCAGTATCTCTATAGATCTTAGAAAGCTATTTCTTGATTTAAAGTGTTGGTGTGCTGGCTGATATCTGAACAGGGGCTGGGCTGGAGATGTCAATGCTTTGATCCTTTCATTATTGGCTGCTTCTTTCTGGTGAATGTCTGATGGTGTAACACCAACTAAACAGTATAATTTTTCCAGTGGTGTGGGGCATAGACATCCTGTGATAATGCAGCAATCTATGCTGACAATCATGCCATCACCACCCAAGCAGGAAGCTTTGAAATGGTTGAACAGAAGCTATCTGAAGCTTTAGGTGCTCTTATTGATATTACAGCTGATTCCTAAACTATCTAAAATGCAGATGTGTACTTTTCTCCTTAAGAACAGACAAGCATCTCGAGCCCTGAGGTAAAGCATTGCAATGCTTTACCTATGCTGGAAACCACCCTGAGTCCCCTTGGGGAGATAGAGTGGTATACAAATAAATTATTATTATTATTATTATTATTATTATTATTATTATTATTATTATTACTACCTGGGAAGGAATCCCACTGGAGCATTGCAGCACCCCAAAGTACCTGGAAGTTACCCTGGATCATGCTCTGACTTACAAGAAGCCTTCTTGACTATCAAGCAAAAAGTGGGTGCTAGAAATAATATCAAACAAAAGCTGACTGGCACAACCTGGGGATCACAACCAGACACAATGAAGACATTTGCTCTTGCACTTTGCTACTCTGCTGCTGAATACACACTCCCAGTGTGGAATACATCTCAACATGTTAAATTTCTAGTTGAATCCAATTATTAATTATAATTCCATTAATTCCTCCATATTTTACTCTTTTCTGACTTCTTCCTCAACACTGCATGAAATCCAGAAATCTTTTCCCATAAACATCCCCAAGTTCTAAGATCTTTTTTGACAGCKTTTCTCTTAAGTAATGTTTCTACTCACCTCACCTCTGAGGATGCTTGCCATAGATGCAGGCGAAACATCAGGAGAAATGCCTCTAGAACATGGCCATATAGCCCAAAAAAACCCACAAGAACTGAATGTTTCTACGCTCTTAGTCTTTTAGGGAWTTGGGGGATTGATCATAATGTTCTGCTAATGGGGCGCTATCTTCTTGTYTRGTCTGCTTGGTTCGATTACATTTTCTCATATATATATGAGATGCCCAAAGTGCAACAACTTCGAGAATATATATATTCTCGAAGCTGTTGCACTTTGGSCATCTCATGAGGTCWAATCATTCARTAGAAAMGGATGCTCCCACTTGGGAAAATAGAGCYCAATAGGAAAAGATTGCATTACYGATAAAGGAAGCCARGGCTCCAGAGCTGAGTGACTTGGAGAACTCTCATTCATGGAGTCACCATAKATTCAGRGTTGACTTGATGGTCATTAACAACRGAAACATGATCAGGGCAGGGCTGCTTATCCATATTTGCCTTAATTGGTCAGCACATGCTTCATAGACATATAAAAGAAGAGAACAATACAATAATGAGGGCTGGACATATTTGGAAAGCATCTCTTTGGCACTTGAGCTGTTTCCCATTTTTTATGAGGCACCATTTTACAATGCCATTGTAGCCAATGGAACTTGGGCATCTGTGGATTTTGGGATCCAAAGGTCCTGGTACCAAATTTTAGTGGATACTGAAGACCTATTCTATCCAAGGCTGGATCTACATTGCCATAACGTGCAGTTTTGAAATGCATTGAACTGGATTCTATGACAGTGCAGACTCATCTAATGCAGTTCAATTCAGTTCAATCTGCATTCTGAAACCACATTATGTGGCAGTGTATATCTAGCCTGAGAATAGCCCAGTTCCTAGGTAGGCTGTGGTTACTGGATACATGAGAGCAAGAATCCTTCCTATGGACCTTCAGGATCTCTGTTAAAGGTGACTGTGTTGCTTGGCATCACCTGTGTTCTTCCCTGGTGCCATGGAGACCCTTGTGTCACACTGCAAAGCCATGCGCTCATCTCCATTTGCTATTTAATGGCATTCCCAGCCCATTGAGTCCCCTCATATGGAAGAACAATGGTGGTGAGTCACAGGCCTTCAGCAGAAATATTCAGTACCTATACTTGGAGTGGCCTTGACTGAACCGGGAGCCATTGAGATATGGGCTCTCAGGTGAACCAGAACTACCATGTGGACTGCGAGGCAGCAGTGAACTGCGTGGCCAACCTGGAGCTTTATGCCAGCTATGCCTACCTCTCCATGGTAAGGCTGTGTGACGTTTCTCTCTTGTGGAACATGCTGCGAACTTCTCTTCATTGGGTCTAAATAGGATGTGTTTCAACAGCACTACTCCTAAACACCAAGGGACAGGAAATAACACTAAAATCAAGAGAGGAACTAAATCGGCTAGATTCCACTATCTCATGGTTTCATTATCACCAGATCAGAGAAAACTACAAGATAGATAAAATAATAGGTTTCGAAACAAAGAAATCTTTCTGGGATAATATACTAACAACCGATACAAAACTTATAAGAAAAATATATAACCAATTATTAATTTGGGCCACAGAGACAGAGCAAGTCAAGTCCAATATAATAAGGTGGTCAAGAGATATAGGTCAATCGATCCCACTAGCAGATTGGGAAAAAAATTGGAAAAATAAAATCAAATATACATATGCCACCGACCTAAAAGAGAGCTGGTAAAAGATCTTTTATAGATGGTACCTAACACCCGAGATATTAGCTAAAATTAATAAGGACAAAACAAAGGACCGATGTTGGAAATGCAAGAAGGAAAAAGGCATATTTCTACATATGTGGTGGAACTGCAAAAAGATAAAAAAAATATTGGGTACAAGTCCATAGGACGATGGAAAAAAATATTAGAGATAAAATTCGAACTAAGACCAGAAATACTATTATTAGGACTCCATAACCTTAAATTGGAAAAGAATGAGGACAAACTATTTTTCTATTTAACAGCAGCTGCTAGGATGGTCCTAGCAAAATTGTGGAAAACTAAAGAGATTCCAACATTGGAACACTGGACTAGCAAGATAATGGAAATAATAAACATGGACATTTTGACACAGAGAATCTCTCAAAACTATAGAAAACCTCAAAGAACCAACTGGAAATCAGTATTAGATTTTATAAAGGAGGGAAATAAGGAGATGTACACAATAGATCTATAAATGTAATCCAAGAAAAAGGTAAACGTAAAGAAAAAAAAGGGACCGAACATCCCGAGCAAACAAATCTACTGACAATTTTTTCAAGGCAAGCAAGCACAAGGTGATAAACAAAACTTAATATTTATTTTGAATACAATATTCAAATACAATATGTAAAATTGAATACATTATGAAAAATTAAGAATGTTTGAACCACCCTGGACAAACCTGGAAGTACCCAATTTTTACCCTTGTCGCCCCTCCTACCTACCGTCTTCCCCCTCCCCATATGTAACCCGATCCCCTTTTCCTTCCCAACCTCCCCTCTCCTCCACAGCAACCCTCTGTAACCCCCCCATACATACCTATCCCTTGTTTTTACCAAAGTGTATGCAAAATAAAATCAATTAAAATATTTTTAAAAGATATATATATATATATATAAAACAGCACTACTGGGCTTAACCCCTTTGATTTGGGAGAATACTCTCCCTCTCTCTCCCCCATTTCTATCTATCTATCTATCTATTTATCTATCTATCTATCTAAACTCTATTAATCTATCTGTATCTACCATATCTATCTACCCTACCTACCTACCTACCTACCTACCTACCTACCTACTGCACGTATCTCTACTTACCTAACGTATCTATCCATCTACCCTGCCTATCTATCTATCAGTCTATCTGCCTGCCATATCTATGCACCTACCTTATCTATCTATCATCTATCTATCGGCCTACTATATATATCTATCTAGCACAGTGGTTCCCAATCTTTTTTTGACCAGGGACCATTTTGACCAGTGACACTTGACCAGGGACCACTCCTCAACATTAGTTCCAAAAGGGTTACAAATCAGGTTTTGGTCAACTTTACATTTGGTTTGGTTATTTGGGGTGCAGATTCAAAATTGCATTGCATAGATCACATCAGCTCTAGTTCCTGATACAGAACATATGCCATCCAGTAGTCACAATCTGCTCGCCCACAGAAAACCATATTTAACAAGCCTCAGCAATATAAAAGGGTTTTGCGAGACCAGTTGCTCTCTTTGCAACGGTGAAGCCGAGGACCATATTTTAGTTCTTGTAGACCACTGGTGGTCCACAGACCACAGGTTGGGAACCACCGATCTAGCATATCTATCGACCATATCTGTCTATCAATCTATCTGCTTACCATATCTATCCAACTACCCTATCTGTCTGTCTATCTATCTACCTGTTTACCACATCTATCCATCTACCCTGTCTGTCTGTCTGTCTGTCTATCCATCCATCCATCTATCTATCTGCTTATCATATCTATTAATCTATCATATCTAACTATCATCTATCTGTTTGTTTGTCTATCTATCTACCATATCTATCTATCTATCTGTCTATCTAAGATACAGAATGGGTGACGCCTGGCTCGAGAGCAGTACGTGTGAAAAAGATCTTGGAGTTCTCGTGGACAACAAGTTAAACATGAGCCAACAATGTGATGTGGCGGCAAAAAAAGCCAATGGGATTTTGGCCTGCATCAATAGGAGCATAGTGTCTAGATCTAAGGAAGTAATGCTACCCCTCTATTCTGCTTTGGTTAGACCACATCTGGAATATTGTGTCCAATTCTGGGCACCACAATTCAAGAGAGATATTAACAAGCTGGAATGTGTCCAGAGGAGGGCGACTAAAATGATCAAGGGTCTGGAGAACAAGCCCTATGAGGAGCGGCTTAAGGAGCTGGGCATGTTTAGCCTGAAGAAGAGAAGGCTGAGAGGAGATATGATAGCCATGTATAAATATGTGAGAGGAAGCCACAGGGAGGAGGGAGCAAGCTTGTTTTCTGCTTCCTTGGAGACTAGGACGCGGAACAATGGCTTCAAACTACAAGAGAGGAGATTCCATCTGATCATGAGGAAGAACTTCCTGACTGTGAGAGCCGTTCAGCAGTGGAACTCTCTGCCCCGGAGTGTGGTGGAGGCTCCTTCTTTGGAAGCTTTTAAACAGAGGCTGGATGGCCATCTGTCAGGGATGATTTGAATGCAATATTCCTGCTTCTTGGCAGGGGGTTGGACTGGATGGCCCATGAGGTCTCTTCCAACTCTTTGATTCTATGATTCTATGATTCTATCTATCTACCATATCTATCTGTTTGTCTATCTTCCATATCTATCTGTCTATCTTCCATATCTATCTGTCTATCTTCCATATCTATCTGTCTATCTATCTACCATATCTATCTATCTATCTATCTATCTATCTATCTATCTATCTATCTATCTATCTATCTACCATATCTATCTGTTTGTCTATCTTACATATCTATCTGTCTATCTATCTTCCATATCTATCTATCTATCTGTCTGTCTGTCTGTCTGTCTGTCTATCTATCTATCTACCATATCTATCTGTCTATATATCTTCCATATCTATCTGTCTATCTATCTACCATATCTATCTATCTATCTATCTATCTATCTATCTATCTATCTATCTATCTATCTATCTACCATATCTATCTGTTTGTCTATCTTACATATCTATCTGTCTATCTATCTTCCATATCTATCTGTCTGTCTGTCTGTCTGTCTGTCTGTCTGTCTGTCTATCTATCTATCTATCTATCTATCTATCTATCTATCTATCTACCTACCTACCTACCTACCTACCTACCTACCATATCTATCTACCACGTCTATCTGTCTACCATGTCTGTTTACCATATTTATCTAGCTACCATATCTATCTGTCTGTCTATCTATCTATCCATCCTGTTTCCCCAAAAATTAGCCCTAGCATGTTTGAAGTCCAAAACACCCAAAGTTTGCCCATCCGTGATCTATCGTATCTCTCTCTCTCCACCATCCGTGATCTATCGTATCTCTCTCTCTCCACCATGTCTGTCTTATCTATCTATCTATCTATCTATCTATCTATCTATCTATCTATCTATCTATCTATCTTTTTTCCTGCCGGCGATACTGAAATTAGTGTGCATCATACAATCAATGGAGTTTTAGAATAAAAGAAATATGGTAAATTCACAGAGAAGGAGGCTATTGCTATGGGAGGAAGGGCCCAGCAAAGGGCTTCAAGATCCAAATACTTCTTTGCAAATTTCAGTGCTTTTGGCAAAAGCTTGTTTTCCTTGGGCCCCCAACTTGGCAGGCAGATGCCGCTTCCATTATAGCCCAGTATTTATTTACACCCTGGTGGGAGGCCCATTGGGCAAAGTGCCCAGAGAGAATGCAGCTCAGCGCAAAAGAGGTCCACTCCAGTTTACAGAAAGCCATTCCCAATTGCGTTTTCCTCATTTCTACCTACTTTCGCATACAAGTGTCATAGAAGCACGAGGAGAACAGCTCAATAACATTATGCAACACGATTTTGGTCCCTGGGTTATAAATATAATTTCTTAATTGGTTCTATCATATCATTTCTTAATTTGTTCTACCAGTGGCGCAATGGGTTAAACCCTTGTGCCGGCAGGACCGAAGATCAACAGGTCAGAGGTTCGAATCCAGGGGGAACATGGATGAGCTCCCTCTGTCAGCTCCAGCTCCCCATGCAGGGACATGAGATAAGCCTCCCCCAAGGATGGTAAAACATCAAAACATCCGGACATCCCCTGGGCAACATCCTTGCAGACGGCCAATTCTTTCACACCAGAAGCGACTTGCAGTTTCTCAAGTTGCTCTTGACACACACACACACACACAGAATCATAAAACACAAGAAAATTCTATTAAACTGGTTTTGGGGGAAATCCCGTAGCACATTTTGCTCTAGTTTTTCAGTGAACATCTCATAGAGTTTCAATCAATTCAACAGAGTTTGTGGCAGCTACAAAAACAAAGTTTCTGGAGTAGAGCAATTACTTTCAAAGTAAGTATCACACAATTAAACAGGGAATAACACTTTCAAACCAGGAACAGATTTTTTTTTCATATTTTGTTACGTAGAGTAATTTGTGAGTGTGGAAGCTGTTGGATAGGATGTATATGAAACCAGTAGGAAATGTCGGAAAATGTTGATGACTGATAAACTGATCTAGTGAAGGGCCTTTGATGGTTTCCTGTTCTTCTCTCCCTCCTTGATCCCAGTCTTACTACTTTAAGCGTGATGACGTGGCCCTGAAGCATGTGGCTGACTTCTTCAGCAAAGAGTCCCTCAAGAAGAGTGCAGATGCAGAGGCATTTCTTAACTATCAGAACAAGAGAGGAGGGTGCATCATTCTGCAGGACATTCAGGTGAAGGGCTGAAGAAGCAATCTTTCATTCATTGACAAAGGCCTGGACTTGGCCTGAGTTTGGTGAATATGGAGAAACATGAGAGTTGTCCATTCCCATTATCACTCTGGGAGTGGGGGGGATGTTTAACTTTTAAATGCAATTTTAATTGTATTTTAACTTTTTGTATTCCCGACGCAAATATTTAATTTTAATTTAATCCAGACAAGACAGAGGTCCTTTGGTCGATCGTAAACCGGATCGGGGTATAGGGTGGCAACCTGTGTTGGACAGGGTTACACTCCCCCTGAAGTCACAGGTCCGCAGTTTGGGTGTCCTCTTGGACTCATCACTTACGCTTGAGGCTCAGGCGTCGGCGGTGGCCAGGAGGGCTTTTGCACAATTGAGACTCGTGCGCCAACTGCGACCGTACCTCATAAGGCTGATCTGGCCGGGGTGGTCCATGCCTTGGTCACCTCTAGATTGGACTACTGTAATGCGCTCTACGTGGGGCTGCCCTTGAAAATGGCTCGAAAATTCCAACTGGTCCAACGGTTGGCGGCCAGGTTGTTAACTAGCGCTCCTTACAGAGAGAGGTCAACCCTCCTGTTTAAGGAGCTCCATTGGGTGCCGTTCATCTTCCGGTCCCAATTCAAGGTGCAGGTGCTCACCTACAAAGCCCTAAACGGTTTGGGACCCGCCTACCTGTGTGACCGCATCTCCGTATATGAACCCACACGATCCCTCCGATCATCTGGAGAGGCCCTGCTCACGATCCCACCTGCGTCGCAAGCGCGTTTGGTGGGGACGAGAGGGACAGGGCCTTCTCTGTGGTGGCCCCCCGACTCTGGAACTCTCTCCCCAAGGACATTAGACAAGCCCCAACATTGGCAGTCTTTAGGAAGAGCTTGAAGACCTGGCTGTTCCAGTGTGCTTTTCCAGAATAGGAAACTCCTAGCATCATGTCCCAAATGCACTTTGTTAGAGATTTAGGATTGTCTGCACATTGCACCTACCTCCAAAACCTCTACATTTCACCTGTCATGTCCAGCACTTTTAAATCTTGTTCATTACATTGGCTCGGCCTTAGGTTTTAAATGCGTGATGGTGTAATTGTTTTTAGTGTTTTATTTTTTGCTTGATGTTTATTGTTTGCTTTATGAGTTTTATTGCTGTATTGTTATGTTGTTGTCTTGTTGGCAGCCTTGGCCTTTGTAAGCCGCATCGAGTCCTTCGGGAGATGTTAGCGGGGTATAAATAAAAGTTAATAATAATTTGTGTATTCATGCACAGTATATATATTTGCCTTGTTTTTAAATTCTGTTGCATCATCATGTCATTGGTTGCTGCCTTGAGTCCCGATGGGAAGAAAAGAGGGATAAAAATAAAGTAAGGAGGAGGAGGAGGAGGAAGAAAAAGAAGAAAAGAGGAAAAAAGAGAAAGACGAAGAGGAGGAGGAAGAAGAGGAGGAAGAAAGGAGGAGTAGGAGACGAGGAGGAGAAGATAGGGAGGAAGAAGAAGAGGAGCAGATGAAGAAGAAAAGAGGAAGAGGGAAAAAGAAGAAAGAAGAGGAGAGAAAAGTGAAGAAGAGGAGAAGCAGGAGGAAGAAAGAAAAAAGGAGAAAAGGAGGGGGAAGAGGAGGAAGAAAAAGAGGAGGAGTAAGAAGAAGAAGAGGAGGAGGAAGAGGAGGAGGAGGAAGAAGAAGAAAGTTTAATGTGGTTTAATCTTCACAAGGAATGGATTCTTTGCTGCCTTATCCAAACATCCTGGAGCTCCGATACTGTGAACTCTTGCTCCATTCTATCACTGCTTGACCCATATGGAAAAGTGTCCTTTTATCCATTTTTCCTTGGGAAAATATCCAGTTCTTCTAGAGGTAAACTGACCAATTTTTGGGGAATGTGAAACTCCATAAACATTTGGGAAATGGGATTAATAACCTTTTGGAAAGTCACTGACTTACAGGGATGCACTAGGCAGGCACTGGCTTATCTCTTAGTTACAAGTAAAAGTAAAAATGCTGCGTGAAAGAATTGGGAGAGTAAGCGTGAGAATTGCTCCTCAAACTGGGTTGTGGCGCAGCTAGTTAGTAGCCAGCTACATTAAATCACTACTGACCAAGAGGTCATGAGTTTGAAGCCAGACCGGGTTAGAGTTAGCTCCCGACTATTGATAGCTTGCTGTTGACCTATGCAGCCCGAAAGACAGTTGCATCTGTCAAGTAGGAAATTTAGGTACCACTTTATGCAGGGAGGCTAATTTAACTAATTTACAATGCCATAAAACCTTCCAGCAGCGTGCAGAAGAATGAGGAAGTACTCCATCAAAGGACTCGGTGTCACAAATGGGCAGTGAAGCAGCTGCCCGGAAAGCCTAGAGACGACAATTATGCTGGGGAAAGTGGAAGGCAAAAGGAAGAGGGGCCGACCAAGGGCAAGATGGATGGATGGCATCCTTGAAGTGACTGGACTGACCTTGAAGGAGCTGGGGGTGGTGATGGCCGACAGGGAGCTCTGGCGTGGGCTGGTCCATGAGGTCACGAAGAGTCGGAGACGACTGAACAAATGAACAACAACAACATATTTGTGTATATGAATTGTGTGTGTGTGCGGTTTTGCGCATGTGTTGTATTTTTTGTTTTTTTTAAAAAAAATTAAGTCCCTTCCACTGTGTTTTCCAGTGTTTTTATGAGTGAGGGTCACTCGTTGGCCTGATAGGTTTCTTGTGCCTGGCTCGAGAGCAGTACGTGTGAAAAAGATCTTGGAGTCCTCGTGGACAACAAGTTAAACATGAGCCAACAATGTGATGTGGCGGCAAAAAAAGCCAATGGGATGTTGGCCTGCATCAATAGGAGCAGAGTGTCTAGATCTAGGGTTTGGTACAAAATGCAGCTGCTCGGCTTCTTGCGGGAATTCCGATGAGATGCCACATAACACCAATCTTACTACAGCTGCATTGGTTACCAATTGAGCACCGGATCACTTTCAAAGTGATGGTACTCACCTTTAAGGCCTTGCATGGTCTGGGGCCAATGTATCTGAGGGATCGTCTCACCCCCTACCAACCCCAGAGATCCCTCCGTTCTGAGGACCAAGATCTATTGGAGGTCCCCAGTGTCAAGACCTTGCGTCTAGCGGCAACCAGACGCAGAGCCTTCACAGCAGTGGCGCCATCAGTCTGGAATTCTCTGCCACCTGAGGTTCGTGCCCTGCGGGACTTACCAGCTTTCCACAGGGCATGTAAGACATACCTGTTTCCGACAGGCTTTTAATGTTTGATACTGTTGTTTTTAAATTGTTTTAAATTGCTTTTAAACTTTGTTAGATTTTAGCTATTCTTGTAAGCCGCTCCGAGCCCCAGGGGAGTGGCGGCATATAAGTCTAAATAATAAATAAATAATAAGCATAGTGTCTAGATCTAGGGAAGTAATGCTACCCCTCTATTCCGCTTTGGTTAGACCACACCTGGAATATTGTGTCAAATTCTGGGCACCACAATTCAAGAGAGATATTGACAAGCTGGAATGTGTCCAGAGGAGGGCGACTAAAATGATCAAGGGTCTGGAGAACAAGCCCTATGAGGAGCGGCTTAAGGAGCTGGGCATGTTTAGCCTGAAGAAGAGAAGGCTGAGAGGAGATATGATAGACATGTATAAATATGTGAGAGGAAGCCACAGGGAGGAGGGAGCAAGCTTGTTTTCTGCTTCCCTTGGAGACTAGGACGCGGAACAATGGCTTCAAACTACAAGAGAGGAGATTCCATCTGAACATGAGGAAGAACTTCTTGACTGTGAGAGCCGTTCAGCAGTGGAACTCTCTGCCCCGGAGTGTGGTGGAGGCTCCTTCTTTGGAAGCTTTTAAACAGAGGCTGGATGGCCATCTGTCAGGGTGATTTGAATGCAATATTTCTGCTTCTTGGCAGAATTTGCTTGTATACCGCAGTTTCTCAGCCCGTAGGCGACTCAACGCGGTTCACAACAAGAGCAAAAGTCAGTCCAACAACATACAATATTAAAACCATTAACAGTATAAAATACAAACTAATGACATCTCAATAACAACACATTGTCTCGTAACTAAAATCGTGATCCAATTCGCCATCCATAATTCCATTTCCTATATTCATCGTGTTCATTGCACTATTTATCTGAACACCTGTTCAAACAGCCAGGTTTTTAGTTTTCTTCGAAACACCATTAGCGAAGGGGCTGATCTAATGTCCATGGGAAGGGCGTTCCACAGCCGAGGGGCCACCACAGAGAAGGCCCTGTCCCTCGTCCCCGCCAGCCGTGCCTGTGATGCAGGCGGGATCGAGAGCAGGGCCTCCCCAGAAGATCTTAGAGTCCTGATGGGTTCATAGGCAGAGATACGTTCGGATAGGTAGCTTGGGCCCGAACCGTTTAGGGCTTTATAGGCCAATGCCAGCACTTTGAATTGAGCCCGGTAGCAAATCGGCAGCCAGTGGAGCTGGTACAGCAGAGGAGTTGTATGCTCCCTGCGCTCCGCTCCTGTTCGTATCATGGCTGCCGAGCGTTGGACTAGTTGGAGCTTCCGAGCCGTCTTCAAAGGCAACCCCACGTAGAGAGCGTTGCAGTAGTCTAACGGGATGTAACCAGAGCGTGGACTACTATTCCTACTTCTTGGCAGAATGGGGTTGGACTGGATGGCCCATGAGGTCTCTTCCAACTCTTTGATTCTATGATTGTGTGTACATGAAATCGGAAAGCTGGAATGTTAAATTGCCTCTGTGTCTGTCTATATATGTTTAATGTCTAAATGGCATTGAATGTTTCCCATGTATATGTGCATTGTAATCCACCCTGAGTCCCCTGCGGGGTGAGAAGAGAGGAATGTAAATACTGTAAATAGATAAACTGCAGTGACAGCTCTTTTTAAAAGCTATATCTTTGTCTGTATGCACTTTACAGATGGGACCTCCAGCCCTATAAGGCGTTTATAAAATCTTATAAAACTACATTTCCTTCAGTAACACAGGGCATCTTCTTTAGAATCAATAGTCCATAGCCCAATTGAGTTGCTAAGCATACATCTTACTGAAGTCTAAACTGTATAACTCTTTTGATGCAAACACACACTTCTCTACATGGCTGTTATGGATTTTCTTCATTGCTGCTTGGCCTCTCCTTCTCAGAAGCCAGAAAAGGATGAATGGGAGAACAGTTTGGTGGCCTTTGAGAGCGCCTTGCGGCTGGAGAGCATCCTGAACCAAGCTCTCCTGGATTTGCACCATCTCGCTCTGCAGAAAGGGGATCCGCACGTAAGTGATCAAGGAGGATGGGACTGAGAATACACCCAAGAGTACCCATTCAGACACATGCAACTTGTAAAAAGTTCTTCACTCTTTCAGCCTTCCTACTTTCCTTCTCTGCAGATGTGCGACTTCCTAAAGTCCTTCTTGGAGGACCAGGTGGCAGCTGTCAAGGAGCTAGGGAGCTACATTTCCAACCTGCGGCGCCTGGAAGTGCCCCACAACGGCCTGGGGGAGCACCTCTTCGATCAGCACTCCTTCACAGAGAGTGCCTGAGCTCAATGACTGCTGGCTATTTGTTCCCAGAAGTCTTTGTAGTAAAAAAAATAGACTACGTTTACTGTTGGTCAAGTGAATATGCAGATAACCGGTAATACTTGTCTGCTTTCTCCCTTCTCCGGCTCTGAGGCCTCCCTCACAATGTCTTCATGGCAATGTTCTCACTCTCTTTGCAGCCCCTTCCTTCTTTCTTTTCCCTCAGACACCTTCCCTCCTCCTCCTTTTTTCTTCCCTCCCTTCATACTTTTCTTTTCTTCCTTTTCTTCCTCCTTCCTTCTTCTTCTTTGCCTTCCTTCTTACTTACTTCCTTCCTTCCTTCCTTCCTTCCTTCCTTCCTTCTCTTCCTTCCTCATGCACCTTGTCCTTCTTTCCTTCCTTCCCTAGCTTTCCCTCATATACTTTCTCTCATACACCCTAGCTTTCCCTCATACACCTTCCTCTTTCCTTCTTCCTCTCCTACCTTTCTTCTTCTGTTCTTTTATTTTTCTTTCCTTTCTTCTTTTCCCTCATGCACCTTGTCCTTCTTTCCTTCCTTCCCTAGCTTTCCCTCATATACTTTCTCTCATACACCCTAGCTTTCCCTCATACACCTTCCTCTTTCCTTCTTCCTCTCCTACCTTTCTTCTTCTGTTCTTTATTTTTCTTTCCTCTCTTCTTTTCCCTCCTTCTTTCCTTCCTTCCCTAGCTTTCCCTCATATACTTTCTCTCATACACCCTAGCTTTCCCTCATACACCTTCCTCTTTCCTTCTTCCTCTCCTCATAGCTTTCTTCTTCTCTTCCTTTTCTTGTTCTTTTTTTCCTTCCTTCTTTTCCTCATGCACCTTGTCCTTCTTTCCTTCCATCCCTTGCTTTCTTCTCATACACCTTTGCCTCTCCTTCCTCCTATCTCCTCCTCCTCCCTTTCCTTTCTCCTCCTTCCTTTCCCTTATTTTTATTTCCTTCCTCACTTTCCCACATGCACCTTGTTCTTATTTCCTTCCTTCCCTTGCTTCCATCATACATATTTACCTCTCCTTCCCCTCTTCCTCTACCTTTCCTTTCTTCACTTCTCTTCTTTCCCTTTTCTTTCCCTCCTCCCTTTTTCTTAAACACCTTGTCCTTCTTTCCCTCCCTTGCTTTCCCTCATACACCTCTTCCCTTCTTTCTCCCCTCCTCATACCTTTCCTCCTTTCTCTTCCTTCCTTTTTATTTCTTCCCCCTTCTCCTTGTATTTCTCTTTCCTTCCTTCCCCTCATATATATGTCACATTTCTTTCCCAATGACATCACAGAAGGCCACTTCACTTAGTAATATGTATAGATATAGATGTCAATGGTAAGACTCAAACTCTCCCACCCAGACTGAACCTCAGGCAGAAATCAAATGAAAAGAATAGGGATAAAATTCTATGAAGAAAAAAAACCCAATTTTAGAAAACTTTGTATTTGAGACATAGCAGCTTTCCTCTATAGCAGATCCATAGATTTTTACAGACTCGCAAGTCTTGAACACACATTTTAAGTACGAATTTTATTTACCTTGAAAATAGTTCATTCAACAGATATTTAAAATAAAAGCACAAATTCTTTTATTTGCACAATTAAGTGTAAATACACATAGTAAAAAGTGAATTTTATGTTAAAGAGCCCTTTAACATAACATTGAATTTGTAACCATGTGTTCTTGTTATTTCTGTCCTGCATTTAGCCAGAAATATATATCATGGAACTCGATAGCTAAGGTAAATAGGATACACACACACATGTATATATATGTGTATATATGCACACATACATACACAAAGAGCAACTGAATTACTATGTCTAGGCCATGATGTTATGGGCCTTTAAACACAACGTAATAGTGCTGCACTTATATCAAGATAAAGGGGTAGAACCCCTTGGGGGAAATTAGGTTTTCAGGGGCATCAAAACACAGTCGTTTTGCTTATCCTTTAATCTTTGATAGGTTGAAAGCCTGTTTTTCATATTCCGAAGGCACTTTTAACACTCTTTCAATCCATGTTTTCAGTGGTTTCTCGTTTACTACAGAACACGCAGAACCTTAACAGAAGATCTATTACTATTTAATAAATAAAATATTTTAAACACATTTGTTGCCGCAATGGTTTGAGTGCGAGATCTAGTTTCAAATCCTTGTTCAGATCTGGAAATTTGGTAGGAGACTTTGGGCAAGTCACACTCTCTTAGCCTCAGAGGAAGGCAATGGCAAACCTCAATTGCTTTTCATTTTTTGAGTTGCTATGAGTTTTCCAGGCTGTATGGCCATGTTCCAGAAGCACTCTCTCCTGGCGTTTCGCCCACATCTATAGCAGGCATCCTGAGAAGTTGTGAAGTCTGATGGAAACTAGGCAATCAAGCAGGTTCAGCTAAAACCTCCCAACAAAGGATCCCACCAGGCAGCAATCAGCCAGGCTTTGAAGCTGCAAGGCCATTCAGTGCTAATCAAGGTGGCCAATTGCAACATTCACACTTGTCCCAAGCAGACAAGAGTTATTTCTCCCACCCTGGACATTCTACAGATAAATAAACCTCACTAGCCTAGTTTCCAAAAGATGTCACAACCTCCGAGGAGGCCTACCATAGATGTGGGGAAAAGGTCAGGAGAGAATGCTTCTGGAACATGGCCATGCAGCAATCCGGTGATTCCGGCCACGAAAGCCTTCGACAACACATTTGCATTGTTTATTTTTAAAACTGTTCCATGTTTATATTCTATTTTAATGTTTTCCTATAACTAGGTCTCAAATTATATGGTCTTGGTTTCAGTATGAGCCTCTTTGATTTTCCTTTTTTGAGAACCAAAGCAGGATATAAATAGAAATAAAAACAAATAAGAAATATTGCCAAAAAAAAACCCCTTCCTAAGACTGGACTGCCATATATTTGGCATAATCCAGATTCAAGCTCCAGTTCCTTTTTGCACAAACATCATCACATTGAGTTTATGTGACATCCAAAGAACCAAGAGGTAGTTTTATTACAATCAGAAGTGTTCAAGTTCTAACGCTTTTTTCATCCCCAAAGAAGGACATTTAATTTCCCCAACTCCATCGAAAACAATACAGGCAGTACCATCAGGATGGTCTTTGGTTAATATTTCCATACATACAAATGGAAATTGTTTCTTGCATGATGCATCATCTGGATCTGGATATTTCTAAAGGGTCACTGCCACCTTCATATTGATCTTTCTACCATCGCCATTCATCAAACCAGCTCCCAAGTCATTCCAAAGTGGCAAATTCCCTTCCTGTGTGATATTTCTGCCAGGAAATGTGAGCAATGCCCCTTGCTTCCTTGGTTTAGATGTCAATGATGACAAAGACCTCAGGCTTCTCCTCCTCATGGATCTGCATGGCTGAATAGGTGATTGCCTTGACCTCGGTGCCCTGGGAAAGGCAAGGAAAAACACAATACATCTGCAACTTTTGGTGGCCTAGGGATTGGGAAGCAACACCATTTGAGAGAGACAAGAGAAAGAACCAAATACTGTAATGGAACAAGCTTCTTCATCAACCTCTTGACCAGGGCTCCCAACACTTGGACTTAAGCTCTTTTTAAGCTCTTTTTTGTATTTATATTTGAACTAGCCGTCCCTTGCCACGCGTTGCTGTGGCCCACATGGGGGTTCTGTGTGGGAGGTTTGGCCCAATTTTATCGTTGGTGGGGTTCAGAATGCTCTGTGATTGTAGGTGAACTATAAATCCCAGCAACTACAACTCCCGAATGTCAAGATTCTATTTTCCCCAAACTCTACCAGTGTTCACATTTGGGCATATTGAGTATTCGTGTAGAGTTTGGTCCAGTTCTGTCATTGTTTGAGTCCACAGTGATCTCTGGATGTAGGTGAACTACAACTCCAAAACCAAAGGACACTGCCCACCAAACCCTTCCAGTATTTTCTGTTGGTCATGGGAGAAATGTGTGCCAAGTTTGGTTCAATTCCATCGTTGGTGGGGTTCAGAATGCTCTTTGATTGTAGGTGAACTATAAATCCCAGCAACTACAACTCCCAAATGACAAAATCAATTTTTTTGAGTGAAGGACATACATTGGGTTGTTAGGTGTCTTGTGTCCAAATTTGGTGCCAATTCGTCCAGTGGTTTTTGAGTTCTGTTAATCCCACAAACGAACATTACATTTTTATTTATATAGATTATTGTATGTTTACTTTTAAGCTTTTTATTGTATTTCTATTTGAATTACTTCTAAGCTTGTTATTGTATTTATCTTCGAATTATTATCTCATGTTTATTATTGTATGTTTAAATTGATATGTTAATTGTTTAAATTCATATGTATATGTGTAATGCGGCATTGAATGCCATGGATTGTAAGCCACCCTGAGTCCCCCACTGGGGTGAGAAGGGTCGGGTATAAATTTAGTATAATAAAATAATAATAATTAAGTCAGTCTTGTTAATAGTAATGATTTGCCATTTCATTCATTACTTTGGAGAGGGGATGTAGGGATTCTGGGGACATATATAGAGCAGGCATGGGAAAACTTCCGCTCTCCAGGTCTTTTGGACTTCAGCTCCCAGAATGTTGGAAATAGCAACCTTTCAAGCCTTCACTCTTTGTTAATGTATACATTTACCAGTTTGACTAACCTCTTTGGTGTGGGAGGGGCTCCAGACATGTTACTGTACTGAGCACATTCAGACTCAAGACTCCAATTTGTTATCAGTATGTTTTTGGAATTCAATGTTAACAGTTTGCTTTAGATCTTAGTGGAGGTGGATAGAGTATGCTTTTTTGTTTGGGCCCTGCCTATCTCCACGATTGTATCTCCCCCTATGAACTGGCACAGACTTTTAGATCTACCGGGGAGGCCCTTCTCTCACTCCCACCACCGTCTCAAGTGCGGTTTGCGGGGACAAGGAAGAGGGCCTTTTCAGTGGTGGCCCCCCGCCTTTGCAACGTGTTCCCTAGAGAGATAAGACAAGCCATGTCACAGGCCTCCTTCCACAAGGACCTGAAAGCCTGGTGGTTCCAGCAGGCTTTTGGAAATGATTAGCCCCAGGCCCTAGCCTATTATTAGTTAGATCCCCGCTTTGCACTCTACCCATTTACTACTTCATTGTACTAGCCCTGGTCTAGCTCTATTATAGCTATTCAGCAGGCCCTGGAAATGAATAGCCTCTGGCACTACCCTGGCCATAAGTTAGGGCCCTATTTTGCACTTTATCCATTTCTCTGGCCCTATGTGTCCCTGTTGGTCCAGCCTTCTTATAGCTATGCAGCAGGCCTTGGAAATAAATAGCTCCAGGTCCCACACTGGCCATCAGGCAAGATCAGGCCTGCACTTTACCCACTACCGGGCCTTAGTCTACTTCGTTATGTTAGCCCAGTCCTCTCATAGTTGAGGCCCACTCTGGAATTATGGCCATTGGTAGCTGAACCTGGCCAATGGAAATTAGTACTGAACTGGCTTTTAATTTTAAATATGTACAACTGTTGTGGAGCCCCTGGTGGCAAAGTGGGTTAATAATTAGGTATTATTATTATTATTATTATTATTATTATTATTATTATTATTGGGCCCCCTGGTGGCACAGCGCGTTAAACCACTGAGCTGCTTAACTTGCTGACCAAAAGGTCGCAGGTTTGAATCCGAGGAGCGGCATGAGCTCCCACTGTTAGCCCCAGCTTCTGCCAACCTAGCAGTTTGAAAACATGCAAATGTGATTAGATCAATAGGTTCCACTCTGGCGGGAAGGTAATGGTGTTCCATGAAGTAATGCCAGCCACATGATCTTCAAGGTGTCTATGGACAACGCTGGCTCTTCAGCATAGAAATGGAGATGAGCACCAACCCCCCAGAGTCAAACATGACTAGACTTAATGTCAAGGGAAAACTTTACCTTATCTATGACTGTTATATAGTATCATGTCTATGTTTTATTTATAATGATTATTTTGTATGTTTTTGTGTCGGTAATTGCAATGCTTTACCTATGCTGGAAACCGCCCCGAGTCCTCTCAGGGAGACAGAGTGGTATACAAATAAAGTATTATTATTATTATTATTATTATTATTATTATTATTATATACACAACAAAGTTATTATTTACTATTAATTATATTATATAAATGTCAGGAGAAAATGCTTCTAGAACAGTGGTTCTCAACCTGGGTTTCCCAGATGTTTTTGGCCTACAACTCCCAGAAATCCCAGCCAGTTTATCAGCTGTTAGGATTTCTGGGAGTTGAAGGCCAAAAACATCTGGGGACCCCAGGTTGAGAACCACTGTTCTAGAACATGGCCATACAGCCCAAAAAACCTACAACAACCCAGTGATTCCGACCATGAAAGCCTTCAACAATACATTATTATTATTATTATTATTATTATTATTATTATTATTATTATTATTGTGGACTTCAATAAAAACAGATGCCATTTAGACTTATGCAGGAACAGTTTACTATATGTTTGCTTTAAGAAGCAGTGAGTACTTATACTTAAAGACTTTGAACTATGGAACTCTAAGAATGAGGTTAGAGTTTCAGTCATGAAAGGAAAGAGGCTTACTTAAATCAATCTGATGGTTGGCTTTCTCAATCTCAAGGCCGAAAGAGTGCTAACAGCATTTATGACAGCATTTATGACTTACCTGGGGATGTTTAGACAGTGAGAATTCCTCTCCCCACCTTAAAAATGAAAAAAACAAACAAACAGATTAAACGGTTCCTTTTAAAGTAATTGTTCCTAACTATACATTTCCCTTGCACCCATTTGCAGTGACTTCCCACCCTTTGGGTTACAGACCCTCATGTACAGTCCTAAATTTCTTTTCTATTACAATATTTTTCCATTCTTCCTTCTAGCATAGTAGTTATTTAAATATTCCATACGAAAACTCTGACCGATTAAATGACGAAGCCTTCTATAAAAATGTTTCCTCCCTTCCATCCTTCCAATGGTAGAAATGGATCCCAGACGTTGAGAAAGTTGTTTGGGTGTTTCCTTTGTTCATCATGGCCCATTGATCCATCCCTGCTCTTCTAAAAGATGTTTACAACCCATTCTTCTCTTGTTGGAAGGTTCTTCCAACATTGGACATACAGCATCCGTGGTGCAATTATCATGTTTGTCATTTAGCGACTTTGTTTAATTGTTTGGCATTCCCAATGAAAATAATCCAGGCTTTAATTGTAACTTTTATTAAAAAATTTCCTGCAGTGCTTTTTTGTACCTTGCCCAGAATTCCCTTGCTTCCTGACAAGTTCCTACTTGCTCCTTACATTTCCAACACTTCTCATTGCTTCCCCTTATACATATTAGCAAGTCATAGTTTTTTTTTAATGCAGCAAACAACATGTTATTTGCTTTTACAATTCATTTTGTATGGTGCAACTTTAACATTAAAAAGTGGACAGGGATAAAATTCTATACTTAATGTCAGGGGAAACCTTTACCTATACATCCTCTAAAAATCGCTATCTCTTTTCAGGAGCTAAATGCGTGACTCAGTTAAATGAATGGCAACTCTGGGTGATTCTGCTTACCCAATAGACCTTATTTTGAATCTTGATCGATCAATAGAAAGCACTTTGATTTCCTGGTAAAAAAGTGGGAATAAAGAGGTAAATGTTAGTTACAATTTTTTAAAACACACTTCAGAGAGATCTATTAAGACCTGATAAAGACTCCAGGTAACTCAATCCAAGATCAGATAATCATCATCATCATCATCATCATCAACATTTATATCCCGCTTTTTTTCCTCACAGGACACAAGGCGGCTTACAACATATTAATGTCATAGAGACAACAATCTGAATAACTATATCCAGACCAATAAAACAATCACTAAATATAAAACATCTTAAAATTGAGAATTTAAAAATAATATACATTCATGTGGCATCATGTCAAGTTATACTGCACTTTGCTCCAGTCAATAACATTATGGCATTTTCTGGCGCTTCAGACTAAATTTCTTCACTGAATTCCTATCTAAACAGAAATGTTTTAATTGGTTCTTAAAAGAAGAAATAATAATAATAATAATAATAATAATAATAATAATAATAATAAGTGACTGTTTAAGATTATCAAAAGTAATTCAGTTTGGAAGTTAGGGAATTTGGAACTGGGTGGCTCTTGTGGCTACTTCTAACTCTACGATTTTATGATTTTCTTGCACAACCACCTGATGATTCATGAAACTGGTCATGTATTATTATTATTATGATCATCATCATTATCATCATCATCATCCCACTTCTTCTCTTTCAAGGGATATTCAGACAGCTATCATCACCTACTTATTTTCTGTTTACCTTTTTCTTTATTATTCTGTAGCATACCCAGAGAAGATTTATGTGCAATTTGAAAGGAAACTTTGCTTTGTAATTTTCACCTGGCCTCCAAACTGTCCCTCTTTCAATGTCCTGTTAGTTTATTGTAGTGTTTTAATGTCGACTCCAAAATGCTAAGTTTAGAGAGGATAGATCCAGTGGCCTAGCAATATAAGAGTGTGTGAAATGTGACCAATCTGGAGCATGACGTAGAATGCATTCCAAGAACTAGTCTATAAGCGCAAATACAAGAAACACTTACCCTAGGAATGAAAAACTCCTCGGCACTGAATTTATAGAGCCACTCATCCAGGAAGTGAAAAAGAAGGGACAACAAGTCATGTCCTGTTGGAGAAACAGAAAAAGAACAGTCGTAAGTGGAGAATCTCTCTCTCTCAGTGCAAAGGAAGATGAGACACAGATTCTAAGAAGAGGCCCAAACATTCGTCCTATTCTCTCCAGCAACAGGTACAGACAGGTGAGGGAAAGAAGGCCTACACTGGTGCAAAGATCAACAAGATAGCTCATGTTCCCTCTTAGGAGCACTTAATTATGTTAAGAAATCATGTGGCTTTCCAGGTCCAGCAGCCTAGTAAATCCAGCACAGACCTTCGCAATAATAAATAAATAAACAAACAAATAAATAATAACGATGATGATGAACACGTCAAACTACTCTGGGACTTCCGAATTCAGACTGACAGAGTTTTGGAGCACAATACTCATGATTGTGTTAAAAAACAAAGTATGGATTGTTGCTGTTGCAATCCCAGGTGACAGCAGGATTGAAGAGAAGCAACTGAAAAAGCTGACACAATATGAGGATTTAAAGATCGAACTGCAAAGACTCTGGCACAAGCCAGTAAAGGTGGTCCCAGTGGTGATCGGCACACTGGCTGCAGTGCCGAAAGACCTTGGCCTGCACTTAAACACAATCAGCGCTGACAAAATTACCACCTGCCAGCTACAAAAGGCCACCTTACTGGGATCTGCATGCATTATTCACAGATACATCACACAGTCCTAGACAGGGAAATCATCCATCGGACAGATGGCAAGCTATTCAACCTCAGCAGACTGAAAGCCAAAACCAAGGTTACAACAACATCTGTTATAGAACTCCAGTATGCTGATGACAACGTCGTCTGTGCGCATTCAGAAGAAGATCTACAAGCCACTCTAAACACCTTCACAGAAGCATATGAGAAGCTCGGCCTGTCATTGAACATTGAAAAAACCAAGGTGCTTTTCCAGCAGGCACCAGCCAACCCCTCTCCAATGCCAGTGATACAGCTTAATGGTGTAACATTAGAAAATGTTGATAATTTCCGCTACCTTGGCAGCCACCTCTCCACCAAAGTCAACATCGACACCGAAATACAACACCGCCTGAGCTCTGCGAGCGCAGCATTTTTCCGAATGAAGCAGAGAGTGTTTGAGGACCGGGACATCCGTAGGGATACCAAGGTGCTTGTTTATAGAGCTATTGTCCTCCCAACCCTGCTATATGCCTGTGAGACGTGGATTGTCTACAGACGTCACATGCAACTCCTGGAACGATTCTATCAGCGTTGCCTCCAGAAAATCCTGCAAATTTCTTGGGAAGACAAGCGGACAAATGTCAGCGTGCTGGAAGAAGCAAAGACCACCAGCATTGAAGCGATGGTCCTCCGCCATCAACTCCGCTGGACCGGCCACGTTGTCCGGATGCCCGACCACCGTCTCCCAAAGCAGTTGCTCTACTCCGAACTCAAGAACGGAAAACAGAATGTTGGTGGGACAGGAAAAGAGATTTAAAGATGGGCTCAAAGCCAACCTTAAAAACTCTGGCATAGACACTGAGAACTGGGAAGCCCTGGCCCTTGACCGCTCCAGCTGGAGGTCAGCTGTGACCAGCAGTGCTGCAGAATTTGAAGAGGCACGAATGGAGGGCGAAAGGGAGAAGCGTGCCAAGAGGAAGGTGCGTCAAACCAACCCCGACCGAGACCGTCTCCTACCTGGAAACCAATGCCCTCACTGCGGAAGAAGATGCAGAGCAAGAATAGGGCTCCACAGCCACATACGGACCCACAAGAACACTGGAAGACAATCATCCTCGGAAAGCGAGGGATCGCATAAGTAAGTAAGTAAGTAGACACTTGGGAAGTGTCCGACGTGTGATCCAATACAACAACCAGCATAGTGATCTTGTTTGCAGTGTACTAATCTTGTTGTGTTTCAAATAATAAAAAATACTTTATTTATATCCTGCCCCTTCTCCTCGAGGAGCCTCAGGGTGGCTAACAACAAGGAAGAACCATATAAATAGTAGCAATCACACAAACAAATCCGGAGGAATTAAATCAGAACAACAAATCAAAGGAACAAATCATGATGCATAGAGAAGAGTAAATCACAATAAACGTGTTAAATAAAACTAAAAAAACATCGCTCATAAATATTAAACTATGTAATAATTAAACATGTAGTAAACTAACAAGGAGGAGCATCAAGGGTTCAGGGGCAGAATCAACTCTTTGGATACATTCAGTCCCTCTTCCATTTACCCATTGCCCAAAGTGGTTTTTAGATGGCAGTTGAGGAACAATCCCTGCCTGGAGTTTTGGTAAGATTATTCTGATTATCATTATTGGCCTTAGGTAACAATGTTGGGGGGAAATCCCTGCCTGTGGTCTTGAAAGATCATCATCATCATCATCACTCTTAGGTAACAGTGCTGGAGAATAATCCCTGACTGTGGTCTTCAGAGATTATTATTATTTGATACACAACAAGATTAGTACACAGCAAAAGTTCACTCTGCTGACACCCAAGTGTCTAGGACTGTGTGATGTATCGGTGAATAATGCATGCAGATCCAAGTAAGGTGGCCTTTTGCAACTGACAGATTTTGTCAGTGCCGATTGTTTTTAAGTGTAAGCCGAGGTCTTGAGGCACTTCACCCAGTGTGCGGATCACCATTGGGACCACCTTTACTGGCTTGTGCCAGAATCTTTAAAGTTCTATCTCTAAATCCTCATATTATAATAATAATAATAATAATAATAATAATAATAATAATAATAATAATAATAATAATAATAAGCCTTAGGTAACAGTGCTGGAAACAATCCCTGCCTGTGGTCTTGGAAAAATAATAATAATAATTATTATTATTATTATTATTATTATTTGAAACACAAGATGAGTCCACAGCAGACACTCTGCTGGCTGTTGAACTGGACCACACGTCGGCCAATAATAATAATAATAATAATAATAATAATAATAATAATAATAATAATTTGGTAACAGTGCTGGGGAACAACCCCTGCCAGTGGTCTTGGAAAGCTGATGCTTATGGGACAACGACAATGATGCTTTTATCTCAACTAAGACGCAAAGCAGCTCACAACATTAAAAAAGAAAATGGCAAAATGCCTTTTATTATGGCTTACATATATTTGCTTTTACTCCAAATAGGGCTATATAACTACATGGACACGCCCTGTATAAGGGAGCTTCAGTCAGTAAATACAGTAAATACAGATAGCAGCAAATATTCTGCTGATTCTTTCCAATGACCAAAAGAGTCTCCTATTATCGGCCAGGTACGTTGGCCTGCAGCTCTACCATCCGTGGCCCATTCGGTTGCCGGGGATGATGGGTGATGGTCCCACCATGTATCTTTCAGGGTCAAGTGGGCTCCAGGATGGCCCTCCTACCTTCTGCCTCCACTTCAACAGTGTCCAAGGGCTCCACGGTCTCTGCATCCGTCATGTACCCGAACATAGCCATAGCACACTGCTCAAAGGCCTCTTCCAAGGTGTCTCCCCAGGCATGCAGCCTAAACATACATCATAAGGAAGCAGGTAAAAAATATAAGGCACCGCAAGGGAAGGAACAGTTACCCAAAGTGCTACACTATTTATATTAAAACTCCAATCCATGTATAGGTAAAGGTAAAGGTTTTCCCCTGACATTAAGTTCAGTCATGTCCGGCTCTGGGGTGTGGTGTGCACCTCCATTTCTAAGCTGAAGAGTCGGCGTTGTCCGTAGACACCTCCAAGGTCATGTGGTTGGCATGACTGCATGGAGTGCCATTACCTTCCCACTGGAGCAGTACCTATTGATCTACTCACATTTGCATGTTTTTGAACAGCTAGGTTGGCAGAAGCTGGGGCTGGCAGCAGAAGCTCACGCCGCTCCCCAGATTTGATCCTGCAACCTTTCAGTCAACAAGCTCAGCAGCTCACCAGTTTAACCCACTGCGCCACCGGAGGCTCCAATCCATGTATAGCAATTACTTTTTAAACTTTGTAAATGCCAGATGTCTGTTCCCTGCTTTCTCTGGGAACTGAAGATACAGAATGCCAGTTGTGTTACGTCTGTTGTGAGGAAACAGCATGGAGATGCTTTCTGATAAAATAATTTATTGCGGAATGAGCTTTTTGTGGATCATAATCACTTGCTGCTGTATTTTGATCTTTGCACCATGTGTGTTGATGTATGTCTTTTATAGTGGCGTGTATTGATATATGTATTTTGTTGCATGCATTGTACTTTGATGTGTTTTGACTGTATTGTACCCTGCCTTGAGCCATAAGGAAAGGCAGGTAACAAATAAAATGTATTATTATTAATGCCTTCATGGGGCAGTAAAACAACAACAATGTATGTGTTACCTGCCAATAAGCAGATTAATGGACGAACGTGTTTTTGTGATCATAAACTATTACTGCTATATTTTGATCTTTGTATCATATGTTTTGGTGTATGTATCTTAGAGTGGTGTTATATATATATATATATATATATATATATATATATATATACACATACACATACATACATCTTATAGTAGTGTTGTTTTATATATATGGTAAAGATTTCCCCTGACATTAAGTCCAGTCGTGTCCAACTTTGGGAACCCCCATACACACACATACTAGCCGTCCCCTGCCAGGCGTTGCTGTGGCCCAGTCTGTGTATATGTTTTTTGTGTATATGTGTGTGTGTATATATTTGTGTATGTGTATATATGTATGTTTGCATATGTATGTGTGTATATATAATATATATATGTGGTTTTGCACATGCATTGTAATGTATTTTTTATTTTTTTGGCTTTTAAAGTCCCTTCTGCTGTTTTTTTTCGGTGTTTTATGAGTGATAGTCACTCGTTGGCTTGATAGGTGTATTGTGTCCAAATTCAGTGTCAATTTGTCCAGTGGTTTTTGAGTTATGTTAATCCCACAACAAACGTTACATTTTTATTTATATAGAGATATATACACACACATACACATACATATATATTTGTATGTATTTTATGTTGATGTGTTTTGACTGTGTTGTACCCTGCCTTGAGGAGATGCCGGTAACAAAACCATCTATTATTGTTCTGATTGTGATTGTTATTATTACCATTATCATCACCTTCATAATAATAATTATATATAAAAAATAATTTATTTGTTACCTGTCTCTCCTTATGGTTTGAGCTGGGGCACAATGTAGTTAAAATACATCATCATCATTCAATACATTAAATAAAGTGCATATATTAAAACATATTTCCATAAAACACACATATTAAAATACACAGCAACCAAGATTAAAATACAATAGGCATAGAATTTAAAATTCAGAGTTAAAAATGGACTGCGATTTATTAGAAAATACATTCTTATTTTCTATATGTCCAGACAATGTTGGACGATCAGCTTTGCATTATGTTTGTTGAAATAGGATGGAATCATATCATCAATTAAACGATGATCAATGGTGATTCACCACCAGAGCACAATTGACGGAATAGAGAATGAGTCACAGTTTCTGCTTTGGGAGGAGCAGAAGGGAACATGCAATACCTAGCAATATTGCTTCCTTTCTCCTTGTATGGCAGTGGTTCTCAACCTGTGGGTCCCCAGATGTTTTGGCTTTTAACTCCCAGAAATCCTAARGGRTGGTAAACRGGCTGCGATTTCTGGGAGTTGTAGGGCAAAACACCTGYGGATCCACRGGCTGAGAACCACTGGTGTARGTGATCTGGYCATAATAACTACATTGTACCCTGGCTTGAGAGMTGWGGAGAGGCAGGCAACATATTATTATTATTATTATTATTATTATTATTATTATTATTGTTATTATTGTTATTATTGTTATTGTTATTATTATATAAGTCAATACTCACTGCACATCAGCCGTATGATCCAAATCTACAGGGGGAGCAAAAACAARYAGAAYTTATTTAAAAMACTTTCTTAAAAAGGAACAATAAGTGGGCAGACAAAACATCTTCATGACGTTTTAAGAGAAGCCATTGAAATCCACAAGCATGTGGACATTTTCAACAGAAAGGAGGAAACCATGAAAATGAACAAAATCTTSCTACCAGTATTTTTAAAAAAACTCTAAAATCAGGACAGTAAATAAAGAGCAACACTCAGAAAACTGGGGAATTCCAGACATGAAACAATCAGGGCAGCTAACACCTTCCAACAAAGGATTCCTCCAGGTAGGAATCGGCCAGTCTTTGAAGCTACAAGGCCATTAAATGCTACACAAGACAAGCAGACAAGAGATCTTTCTCCCACCATTGGGCATTCCATATATATAATACAAGATAATAATTATACAATATAATAATATATAATATTGTAAAAAATAATACTAACATATTAATTATAATAGTACTGATAATATACAATAATATATAATGGTAATACTGTTTTATTATTGCATATGTGTATATTTTAAGTTGTATTGTAATGTTTGTAATTGTGAGTTGCTTTGATTCTCCATATGGAGAGATAAAGAGGGAATACAAATAAATCAATAAATAAAATACAAATATTGCTAATAATAATAATAACAACAACAAGTATGGATCGTCAATGTTGCAATCCCAGGCAATAGCAGGATTGACGAGAAGCAACTGGAAAAACTGACACGATATGAGGATTTAAAGACAGAACTGCAAAGACTCTGGCACAAGCCAGTCACGGTGGTCCCAATGGTGATCGGCACACTGGGTGCAGTGCCTAAAAACCTTGGCCTGCATTGCACTGACAAAATTACCATCTGTCAGCTGCAAAAGGCCACCCTACTTGAATCTACACACATTATTCGGTGATACATCAGGGTCCTAGACACTTGGGTAGTGTCTGATGTGTGATCCAATACAACAGCCAGCACAGTGATCTTGTTTGCTGTGTACTAATCTTGTTATGTATCAAATAATAATAATAATAATAATAATAATAGCCTCTCACAAAACTATTTCCAACTTTCCTATTCTTTCCCTTGGAGTCAAGTTATGTCCATATTTAACAGGTTTTAAAGAAATGTATATAAATAAAAATGTAATGCTTGTTTGTGGGATTAACATAACTCAAAAACCACTGGATGTTTTGACACCAAATTTGGACACAATACACCTATAAGGACAACAAGTCACCATCACTCATAAAACACTGGCAAACACAGCAGAAGAGACTTAAAAGCAAAAAAAATACATTACAAAGCATGCACAAAACCACATATACACATACAAACACATACACAAATATATAGACACACTAGCTGTACCCGCCACGCGTTGCTGTGGCCAACCTTCCCTCTCTCTTTCCCTCCTTCCTTCCCTCTTTCTTTCCTTCCTTCTTTCACTTTTTTATTTCCTTCTCTCCTTCCTTTTCTATCTTTCTTTCCTTCCTTCTCTCCTTCACTCCTTCTTTCCCTCTTTCCCTTCTTCCTTCCTTCCTTCTTTCCCACTTTCTGTGTGTATGTGTTTTGTGTGTGTATATATGCATATATATGTATATATTTGTTTATATGTGTCTATATGTGTGTTTGCGCATGTGTTGTAATATTTTTTTTGCATCTGTCATATACGTGTGTGTGTGTGAATGGCTGAATGGCCCTTTGTCAAGAAGGCTTTGATTATGTTTTCTTGCCCTGGTGAAGGGAGTTGGACTGAGTGGCCTTAAGGCAGCATTTCTCAACCTGGGAAGTCAAGACCTCAGGGAGGGGGGTTCACCAGGGGGGTGTCAGAATGGTCACCAAAGACCACCAGAAAACACAGAGTTTTCTGTTGGTCATGGGGTTCTGTGTGGGATGTTTAGCCCAATTCCATCATTGGTGGGGTTCGGAATGCTCTTTGATTGTAGGTGAACTATACATCCTAGTAACTACAACTCCCAAATGTCAAGGTCTATTTTCCCCAAACTCCATCTGTGTTCACATTTGGGCATATTGAGTATTCCTGTCAAGGTTGGTCCAGATCCATCATTGTTTGAGTCCACAGTATTCTCTGGATGGATGTGAACTACAATTCCAAAATTCAAGGTCAATGCCCACCACACCCTTCCAGTATTTTTTGTTGGTCATGGGAGTTCTGTGTGCCAAGTTTGGTTCAATTCCATCATTGGTGGAGTTAATAATGCTCTTTGATTATAGGTGAACTATAAATCCCAGCAACTACAACACCCAAATGACAAAATCATAATTTTTTGATTGATGTTCACTCCTTGTGTAGTGAGACATTTTGTTGCCAAATTTGGTGTAATTTCGTTCATTGGTTCTTCTGTTTTTAAGGTACTCATTATGCACAGAGCATTTATATATATATATAGATAGATAGATAGACACATATACACACACAAAACACTTATACACAGACTATGTGTGTGGTAGGGGATGGCTAGTTGTTTTAATAACTTCACTGGCTTCAAATAAGTCCCATATTTAATTCCATTTTAGTGTTATGCTTTGGGTTTAAACATTGTGTGATTGTTTGTGTTTGGCTGCGTTGAGCCTCTTTTGAAAGAGAGAGAAAGCAAGAGAAATAGATGGATAGATTTGATTATAGATCAACCCCAGCCTGCATTTCTTGGCACCTTATTCATAAATCAGGAATGAAATCCTTTTCAAAGAGAGGGGAAAAGACTCACATTCGTATTTCTTCGAAATAGGCGCATATTTCGCTTTAATGAGCTTCTGGTCCTCGGTTAAATTGTAATCCCGGTAATTGTCCAGCTCCGTAGCTTCACTGAGAGCCATTCTAAGTTAAAATTAAGTCAAATCAATGGTTGTTTAGGGAGAAGGAATGGGAAGCGGTGGAGGGCACGGCCGGCAGCCTCTCTCTGCCTCCACTCTGCTCAGCTCCAGGCCAGACGGCAAAGCAGGGCCTCTTCCTGGTTGCCTCTTAAAGAGACAGTAGCAGGTTTTGACGCAAGGGGGCACCTAGCAAGTTTGATTCAACTGGCTTTCCCTCTAGGGACCCTTAGGTCCTCCATTGAGACTCTATGGATTTCAATATCCAGCGATTTGATTGAAAATAGTCTCTCTAGGAAGATCCAGGTCTTCCATTGAGTCTTTGGATGCCATTATCCCCAGAATGATTGAAAATAGTCTCTCTAGGAATGTCCAGGTCCTCCATAGGGACTCTGTGGATTTGAGTATTTCGGATTAAAAATCTTCTCTCCAGGAATCTTTTGGTCCTCTGTTGTGATTCTATGAATGTGATTGTCCATAGATATATATGCATATATACTGTATACATATAATACTTTTTCCATTACATCCACCTACAAATATGTTTATATTTATATGTATATATAGCTATAAAAGTTTTAATATATAAATATGAATATCTATATAAATAAAAATGTAATGTTTGTTTGTGGGATTAGCATAACTAAAAAACCACTGGACAAACTGACACCAACTTTGGACACAATACACCGATCAGGCCAACAAGTGACCATCATTCATAAAAATACTGAAAAACACACCAGAAGAGACTTAAAAGCAAAAAATAATACATTACGAAGCATGCACAAAACCATATATATATATATATATATATATATATATATATATGCATGCAAACACATGTATATACACATATACACAAACATATACACACACACAAAGCACATATACACTGACTGGGCCACAGCAACATGTGGCAGGGGTCGGCTAGTATATAGCCAGAAAAGTATATATATTTATATGATATATAGTCATAAAAGTAGATATTTATATTAATATATAGACCTATAAAAGTATATATATATAGATAGATAGATAGATATAAAAGAACACACAGACAGCCATAAAGGTATATATATTTATATGAATATATATATATATATATATATATATATATACACACACACACACACACACACACACACACGCAAATATATAGCTATTTTCAAGGCTGCTGGGTTGAGCGCCTGTATTCATCCCTGTATGCAACTATGTATTAGGAATTGATTGAAAACAGTCTCTCTAGGAATCTCTAGGTCAGGCATGGGCAAACTTGGGCCATGCATAAATATTTAGAGATAAATAGAAGGCACATGCAAAAAAAAAAAAATTGGAAGAGTTGGAAATCGTAAAAAAAAAAAACAKAACAYAAGTTTTGGAAGCCATCATTTGGAATTTGGAAGCCATCATTGAAGCGTTTGCGTGGCCCACACCAAATATTTTAGAATTGCTCTCCCCAGTGCTTCTGTCACTGGAGCACACCCCCCCCCCCATGGGAAAGTTTGGCTCCACAACCCTGTGTTTTTTATGAGCTCCCTCTTGCAAATAACTTGCTCCTCTTATCTCATTCAAGTTTTTTAACATTTTATCCTGCACATGTGGCCCYCCCACTGTCACTGTGTTTGTCTTTATTGTAATGTTATATTCTTAATGTATTCATATTTTTATGTAATTATGATGTTGTTGCTTATGTTTTGGGTTTTATTTTGCCGTAATATGTTGTCTGGGTTTGGCCTCATGTAAGCCGCCCCCAGTCCCCATTGGGGAGATGGTGGCGGGGTATAAATAAAGTTTTGTAATTCGGAAGCCATTGTCGAAGCGTTTGCGTGGCCCACACCAAATATTTTAGAATCAAAACTTACCCCATACTTTTTCATTTTAGTTCTGTAAATCTCGGAAGGTTCCCAAAGTCAGGACAAAAGTGCGAATCAAGCACTGAAAGAATTAGTAGGCCTGAGGAGTGTGAGGTAAACATCTGTGTGAGAGAAGCCTTATGTGAGAAACCTCGTGTGAAGGCTGCTGTGTGTACAGCTACTATCTTATTTGTTTATTTGTGTTGTGGAAACCTTATTTTTGTAAATAGTGCAACCATATAATTTTGCTATAAAGAGATAACATTGGTCTGTGTGTTTTTGTTCTTTTTCTCACTTTGGCTACTGGTGATGGGTCACACTGCTGCTGATAGGTTACTCTGCTATACATTTATGAGGATCTCTTTTATTAATAAGACCACTCACTCAACAGTCAGTCCCTCCCAAAAAATTCACCAAAAATCAATGAATAAGTGAAACATTCTGAAATTAGGTGGGCTGACAGTGGTAAATGTGTTCTACCATTGTAGCAAGATACACCCAATAGCTTTAAAAATGTGGGAGATAGGAGCCACTGATATTTCCCCATAGTAATTATGCAAAAATGTAGTTTGGGAAGCCATATGCCTGCCCTAAACTACATTTCCCAGTCTGCATCAGCATTAGAAAGCACCAATCAGGATGGTGAAGAGAGAGGTCTGTCCCTCCCTTACAGAAGCCAGAATCTGCAAAGAGGACTGGTTGATACATCTCTCTCTAATAAGTAAGCCAAACTCTGTGCTAGGCTGGAAAAAATGAACTAAATGGATGGCCCTGATGAGATCTGTACTATGATTTTTGTCCCTGAGTTATAAATGGCAGTTCCTAATTGGTTCTGTCATAAAAACATGACAAAAGTGTATTACACTATAAAAACTTTGTCTTTGCTTAAGGGCCATCGCCCTATAACACATTCTGCTTTGTTGCGTCTCCTCAAATTGAGTGAACTTTCTGCCACAAAAGCAGTTTCTGGAGTAGACCAACGACTTTCAAAGTAAGGACTACACAAACAGGAAATAACACTTTGAAATTAGAAACAATTTTCCTTTATTATTTAAAAAACACATTGTTTATAAAAACTTTAAAAATCTGGCAAAATTTGTGGATAAATGAAATGTTCCGAAATTTGGGTTGCTGTAAGTTTGTTGGGCTGTATGGTCATGTCCCCATAGTAATTACGCAAAAATTGCGATGCGCGGGACTTGATGAATGCAAGGCTGGAGTTAAAATTGCTGGAAGAAACATTAAAAAGCTTAGATACGCAGATGATACCACTTTGATGGTCGAAAGTGAGGAGGAGCTGAGAAGCCTTCTAACCAAGGTAAAAGAAGAAAGCGCAAAAGCTGGGTTGCAGTTAAACATAAAAAAACAACATTCTGACAACCTGATTGATTGACAACTGGGAAATAGAGGGAGAAAACGTGGAGGCAGTGACAGACTTTGTATTTCTAGATGCAAAGATTACTGCAGACGTAGACTGCAGCCAAGAAATCAGAAGATGTTTCCATCTTGGGGGGAGAGCAATGTCCAATCTCAATAAAATAGTGAAGAGTAGAGACATCACACTGGCAACGAAGATCCGCATAGTTAAAGCAATGGTATTTCCCCATAGTAACGTACGTAACGTAACATAGTGAGAGCTGGACCATAAGGAAGGCTGAGCGAAGGAAGATAGATGCTTTTGAACTGTGGTGTTGGAGGAAAATTCTGAGTGTCTTGGATGGCGAGAAGATCCAACCAGTCCATACTTCAGGAAATAAAGCCTGATTGCTCATTGGAGGGAAGGATAGTAGAGGCAAAGATGAAGTACTTTGGCCACATAATGAGAAGACAGGAAAGCTTAGAGAAGACAATGATGCTGGGGAAAATGGAAGGAAAAAGAGGGGGCTGACCAGGGGCAGGATGGATGAAAGTGACTGGGTTGACTCTGAAGGAGCTGGGGGTGGTGACAGCCGACAGGGAGCTCTGGCATGGGCTGCTCCAGGAGGTCACAAAGAGTTGGAAGTGACGGAACGAATAAACAACAACATGGTCATGTTCCAGAAGCATTTTCTCCTGATGTTTCACCTGCATAAGAAAAAGGATCCTTTTTATTGGAGGATTGTTACAAAGTGGCCAGGGGAATCTGAAAGGGAGAGAAAGAGTTTCTTGTTGTAGCTATTGCTGATGCCACTGTCTTGTAGATACTTGGAAAATTCATACTCCCAGGAACTGTGGAACTCCCTGCTGCGGTCAGAACAATTTGAAGGCAGGGGTTTTAATGTTCAATGACACATCTATGGCAGACATTCTCTGTTGAAAACTAGGAAATGGAGTTTATATATCTGTGGAATGTCCAGCGTCTGTTTGAGGCAAGTGTGAATGTTGCAATTGGCCACCTTGATTAGCACTGAATGGCCTTGCAGCTTCAAAGCCTTGCTGATTGCTGCCTGGGGATCCTTTGTTGGGAGGTTTTAGATTGACCTGATTGATTGCCTAGTTTCCAACAGACCTCACAACTTCTGAGGGTGCCTGCTATAGATGTGGGCAAAATGGCAGGAAAGAATGCTTCTGAAACATGGCCATACGGCCCAGAAAACTCACAGCAACTCAACTGACCATCTCGATTAGCTCTAAAATTTGCTGGGCTAACAGTGTTAAATGTGCCCCACCACTGTAACAAGTTTCACCCCAAAAGCTTTAAAAATGAGGGATAGGAGCCCCTGAAGTTTCTCTAATATTAGTAACTAGCTGTCCCCTGCCACGCGTTGCTGTGGCCCAGTCTGTTGATCTGGAAAATAAAGTAATGAGAAGGTGTTGGTTTGTAATATATGTAATTTCTTTATGCTTGTGGGTAAACAATATTTTTTGTTGTTCCTTTGTCAGTGTTAATGTGCAGATTGTCTGGTTTGCCTACTCTGGAACATGCAACATATAATTGTCCTGCTTTAGGGGACCCTTTCAAATCTAGGATACTATATCTGTCTGTGTGTGAATCATATCTATGTATCTATCTATCTATATCTATTCCTGGATGGCTCTTTGTCAGGAGGGCTTTGATTATGTTTTGCCCTGATGAAGGGAGTTGGATTGGATGGCCTTAAGTATTTTCTGTTGATCATGGGGCTTCTGTGTGGGAAGTTTGCCCCGATTCTTTCGCTTGTAGGGTTCAGAATGCTCTTTGATTGTAAGTGAACTGTGAATCCCAATGACTACAAATCCCAAATGTCAAAGTCTATTTCCCCCAAACCCCATCTGTGTTTATATTTGGGCATATTGAGTGCTTGTGCCAAGTTTGGTCCAGATCCA